TACAAGCGTCACGCAGATGGGAACAGACGAAACTTGCATGACGGTGAGTTGCTTCCTCAAAGCCCCACTCACCATGAACTAGTACACCATATAACACCCACGCCTGACACACTCCCTCCTCCCCTCGGTGCCAAACCTCATATCCCCTCAAAACTAACCCAGAACCAGACTTCCTCTCGACCGGCCGCTTCCGCCTCCTCGTCCTAACGTCCACCGACCTTCTCAACCCCGAAGGCACTTCCGCACAGACCCTGCACGTCCTCGGCTCCCGCGTTCTCCCCAAGTACCCGGCGTCCGCGATTGAGCAGGTCGTCATCCACCCGCGCCTGTCCAGGGACTTCACGTGGCGGGATACGCCCGCGGAGCTGAAGCGGCACTCCGAGATGCGGTTCTACAGTGGCTATGAGATGGATGATGTGTATACCATCTACGGGGTGGATCCGTCGCATGGGGCGGTGGCTGTCGTTCGGCCGGATGGGTACGTCGGGGTGGTGGCTACGCTGGGGGATGTGGCGCGGGTGGATGCGTTCTTGGAAGAGTGCTTGGTACGAGTTTAGTGTGGGAATTGGGCCATGTATAGTCCTGAAGGTGCATGTACAGAGAACCTTATGCTTCGGTGGTCAGAGATTGATTTATAGCATTCATTCAGCATACAGCTTTCTTTCTCTTCTAGCTATCAAATGGGCTCAATATGTACAATTCCTCGAACAGGCTCGGGTCATCTAGCTCGAAGTCGCCGTGCAGTTGACGCTCAAGTCCGAGGTATCCACCTAATCCAGCATTAGCGACAAGATCGAACCAGGCACAACTCGCGGGGCAATCAACTTACGTTATTGCAGACAAAGTCGTTTGTGCCCTTGGGGCTGACGACATTGATATTGTCCGTGTAGATGTTCGAGCACACCTATCACGACATCTGTCAGCTTTCCGCGTTCTTCTGACTCGCCTACTACAAATCCAGAAACTCACCTCAGGGCTCGAGCAAACCAGGGTTCCGACATAAGGATTCTCCTTTCCAGAGGTCTTGCCGCGGAAGTTCTTGAACCAGACGTCGGAGATGGTGAGACTGCTCTGTTGGTTTGTCATGACACATTAGAATTCGACCACCTCCAGCCGGAAATTTTTGGGGTTCTGGTATACGCACCGGGTATTCGTTGCACAGAGTCAGGTTGCTCTGTCCGTAGCATTGGGTCACTTCGATCGCCCAGTCGACGTTATCAATGTAGGCGGTGTCATAGGTGACATTCTGCACGCGACCGCTGCCACCGCCACCCTGGAGGTCCTCGGAGAGAGCGGACGAGACACCGGGCCAGACCTTGATGCGAGCCATGTCCTGTACACGGGTCAATACTATTGCCGAATTGGCTCGAGCGGGTGTGTTTTGTATGAGCCTTCACTTACCGAGGCATTGTACATGGAGATGTTGTACACGAGGATGTCCTGTACAATGTCCACTTCGCCCAGGTATTGTCCGAGAGAGCCTACCGAGATACCGTGCGAGCCGTTGCAGTGGAGGTTTTGCACCAGGATGTCAGTGCTGTTCGGTTTGAAGGAAACGCAGTCTACCAATCCAGTCTTTGTTAGAGGTTGTGCGCTATTGATTGGTTTCGCGAGGTTTTTGAGACGTACCATCGCCATTGTTGATCACAGAGTTTTGGATCACGATGTTCGAGGACCGGTAAGTGTCCCTAGTAGAACAAGCGTCAGCCGACACCCTCTACTGCAGAAAGTTAACAGGAAGCAAAGCAACGTACCATCCATCCGTGTTCTTAGCAGTCACGGACGGGTTCTTGGAATATCCAGAAATGTTGATGCCATCATAGAGAACATTTGTCGAATTGGCGATGAGGTTGTACCATTGTGGGGAGTAGCGCAGGTTCAGCGGGCCAATGGTACCCCCATTCAAACCAATAATGCCAAACAGAATAGGGCGGAGGATAAGAGCGTCTTCTGCGTACAGATCGTACCAGACTTGACCATTACCGTCCAGAGTGCCGCCTCCATAGACGTTCACGTCCTCACCACCGAGCTGGAAGAAGGTCGTTGCATTCTGGAAGACCTGTTGGAAAGCATTGGCTTGCCAGTAATCGGTGTCGTTGGTGAATTGGATGGTTCCCTCGATATCTGTTGAGCAGGTCAGGGTTAGTCACCATGACATGGACATAATACAGAAGAAAAAGAAGGAAGGCAAAAATAAGAACGGTCAACCTTGACTCACCAAGATCAATGTGCTTCAGGAAAGTGAGATCCAATGCCGTGCCGATGATGTATTCCTTGTCGGCGTCGAAGACAACCTTTCCTCCATTGTTGCATTGCTTGATGGCAGAAAGAATATACGCCGAATCGTCGGATCCGTCCCCATGAGTGCGAACATGGCAAGTCTTGGTTCTGGATTTGCTCGTGGGCAGAGGCTGGAAGGGCTTGTGAGGCCCGCAGGCTTGGTTTCGGTCGCGATTGAAGCCTTCCACTGTAGCGCCCAGCGCAAGAAGGCTGAGCGCTTGGCTAAGGAGATGAGAGGTTCTCATTTTTGAACTGGCAGCTCAGGGAAGTAATTATTGGGAGAGGTAAAGGGAATAGTCGTGAACGAGAACCTGGCCGCTGTGCGAAACCTTTCTCCGCCCTCTTGTATTTATATATTCCCAAATTCTCCCCGGGCGTGCACAGGCCCGTTGCAACATCAGCTCTCTCAAGGCGGGGAAGCGTCTCCCTGAGCATGAATGTATCCGGGGAAATGAAAACAGCCGATGCGGAGAGTGTGGAGAAAGCGCGGAGCAACAGCCAAGCTCATGATGGCAGTTATAGTGGTCGAGCGACGTGATAGGAGGGCTAACTCCCGCTGCGATTGTCCGATTGGGGGAAAAATGGCACCAGCAGGAGATTGATGCGTCCTCGGTGGCCCTTGATTGTGCTGTTCCCCCTGCAGCATGGCTGGTCGGGTTTGTTCTCTTCCATATTATCATTCATAGCAAGTGGCCGCGGTGGCTTGCGCTGGCCCGCTATCCCCGGGATTTCTGACGATGTTTGGCTCAAAAGACCTGGGGTTGGTACTCGAACCGGTACTGGCGCATTCCTGTGACTCTTAATTTGGATTGACTTGAGCACTGAATGACGAGGACTTCCGCAGTATGTGATAGGAATAAGCTGGTGGAGATGAGCAGAGGGAGGTGTGGAGGGGGGAAATGAAAAGTGGAGGAGAGCTAAACATATGACCGCCACTCAGGTGACCAGCTTCATGACCTCTCCATTTCCCCATCTTTGAAGATAGCTTTGCGGTTACTTCAGACCGCTACATTGTCTCAAGCCAGATATCATTGAGCTGTTGCTTCTTCCCCTATGCAAAGGTACGCCGTTGGCTGAGGCCCATATAGAACTATTGAATGGCTTGTGAAATCGCCTTTCAGCTTCAAATCTTTCATTCTAGTCAATGGAAATATATACATGCGCAAAATGGTAAAAAAAAAAAGTCCTAGCGAGATTCCTCCGCGCCTCCACGGTCGCTGCTCCTTAGACCATCCGAGTGGTACACCGACAATCTTATGTTCCGAAGAGATGAAAGGAATCTAATCTAATTTTGACGGAATACCAGCTTACATGATCAAACCCCCTTCTCGGTCGCAAAAAAGGGACATTTAAGCCGACTTCTTGACAGCGGCTTTGGCGGTAGCAGCAACAGCCTTGGCATCATCAACCACCTCCTTCTCCAGATCCTTCACAGCCTCCGTGGTAGAGCCATCCACGCTACGGCGGTACTGAACGATACGGGTGACCTGGACGACACCGACGATGCCAAGGAAGAAGTTGACAGCAGCAAGCCTGGACAAAGGATTAGTCAGTCTATTGACTACTAAGTCGCGGAAAGGAATTGTCGATTGAAGAGGTAGACGTACAGGTAGTTCTTGGGAGTGATGATCATACACCAGCGAGTCCAGATAGCACCGGTAGCCATCAGAGCACCGTTCTGGGTCAGGGACAGCTTCTCGGCGGGACGGCTAAGATCGGAAATACCGGCAATGACGAGAGCCCACTGGAGCGGACAGAGTCAGTGATGAATGATCGTAGATTCCAAGTATAACGGATAGGCGACGCCGATGAGGGGTGGGAATTTCTCGTCGTCACTTGAGGACTCATACCTTCATAACCGGGGCCCTAGCGAGTGTCTTATGTTAGCTTGGTTCTTGACGTCCCATATCGATTGCGCCCGACGCATAGTGCAAGTCAGGTCCCTCAATGGCTGTTAGCTCACCAGAAATGCACCGTCTTTACACCGACCGGGCTGTTCCATAGACGCTGGAAAGTGCTCTGTTGCTCGGCCGCGGCGGCATCTGAGCTCTGGAACCGGAAACCCTGGGCGCCAGGCCGACGGAAGGGGCCATATGCATTGCGGAAAGCAGCGCGAGAGTTCTGGAAAAAGCGGAGACCGACACGAGACGACATTATGAAGGGGTTTGATATGAATTTAGACTGAGCGCGGCGGGCGAAGGTGTGTGTTATGGGAGAGTTCGGAAGGGGGAGAGCGGAGAGTGTCGGGCGGGACCCAGGTACAAGAGAGCGGAGAGAGGGAAGCGACGCAAGGAGAAGAAGAAGAAACCCTCTTGGTAGCAATGACCACAGGTAGAGCGAAGGGTCAGGAAATTCGAGATCGAAGGTAAAGATAGACTAAAGGGTAGTCGAGATGAAGCGATCCGTCGAAAGGCCCCGACGTCGGCCTCACTCTGTTGGGGTTGCGGCTCTTTTCCGGCTGAGGTAAGCGGTGACAATCACGCTTGACTGGATTGGTTCTGCCGGGGTCCCTCTCAGAACCTCACTCAGTGGGAATCAGTTTGTCGGTAACTCCTCGATCAGAGCTCCCAGCACGCATTGTCAGTTTTTATCCCCGCCGTCTTCAATTGCAACTCTCCGAGTTATCCAGAGTCAATACTGACGGGCGCCCAGTTTGTCTGACGGTCTTTCCCGCGTGTTCCCGACCCATCCCGCCCTTTGCGATCCGTCACCACTTCACAATGTCCTCCAAGTACGCTTTCACTAAGGGTCTGAAGGAGCTGCGCTTCCTTTTCTGCCAGACCTCTCAGGAAAGCGCCGCTACCCGGTTAGTCGACTCTCGCGCGATTATCAGGATGTGTCGTTCGCGCCCAATTGCTGACGGAGCTGGATTGTTTGCCTTAGGTCGTTCCTGCAGCGCGCCTATCCCACCATGAAGAAGCACAATCCCTCCACTCCTATCCTGATTCGCGAGGCAGCTGGTACTGTGCCCAGAGTGTACGCCAGATACGGTATGGCCCGACGATCACCTATTGTGGACAACCCTGCTCGCAGACTTGAGCTAACTAGCGTATGCAGAGCTCGGAAGAGAGAAGCAGGAAGCCTTGACCGGTAAGACCTTTTGAGATCGACCTTGACTCGCAACTGTGATAACTGACGAAAATTGCTGCAACACAGGCTTGACGGACCAGCAGGTCGAAGAGAAGATTACCCAATTGGTGAAGGCGTCTTCATAATCAGTCCTATTTATCGCGCCCATATATCTTCATGCAACCATGTTCCTGCCTTCTTCCTCTGCGCTGTACCTATAGATGAATCTGAAGACCCTATTCTCGCCACGAAACGCCGGAAAAATTGCCGAACCTATTAGAAATTTGCAACTCTATTGAATTTACCTGGTTTATCAACACAGACTACAGCGAACTAGTATTGTTGGCGATCTCGCCGAATCTATATTGCGCCCAGCTCATACTTCCTTCCTTCAGGGTCCACAAGCGCCTCCCCTTGTCGTCTCCGGCAGCACCAGCTCCAATATGAATGGGGAGCAAATGGTCAAAGGTCGGGTGCGCCTTGCGGGCATCGGGCCGCTTCAGCAGATCCACCAAGGCCTGCTCCCTCTCCGCCGGCTTGGCGGTGGCCGCATCCTTCAGAGCCTCGTCGAAGCTGGCGGTATACGGCAGCGGCCGCGGGTCACCAAAAGAGAACTGCAGGTCCCGCAGATTGTGAACTGCCATCCCGGAGACAATGATCAGGATGTTCTCCTCACGAAGCTTCGACACCGCCTGGCCAAGTCGGTAATGCTGAACGGGGTCTTCCGTGTCGAACAGCGAGACCTGCACAATAGGGACATTCAACGGGTTCTTCTCGGGCTCAAAGGCTATGAACGGCACGATGTTAGCTGGCCTCTGTTTTTCCCCGCCCCCCTCCCTGACCTCTAACATCATCAGAGAAGAGGCAACTTACCACACTTGAAGCTCGCCCAAACGCCATGATCCAGCCCCCTCTTCACCCCTTCAGCCTTGATTCCCGCCTCACCCAGCGCACTAAGCACCTTCTCCGCGACCTCCTTACTCCCAACATTCGGATATTTCTCCTTGTAGTAATGGCTCGGAAATCCGTAAAAGCTTCAAGGGTCGTCAGTAACCGTCCCTCTGCACCTTTGTAGCCTGTCGACTCCATAATCACGAAGAAAACCGGGAATTGCAAAGGAAAAGAACATACTCATAGATCAACTCCGTAATCTCCGCCGTATTCACCTGGATCGTATCCCGTTTCCCTTGCCAATGGGCCGAGAAAACCACCACCGCCCGCGGCTTCACTTTCGTCGTGATCTCCCGTCCGATCTCCCCCAGCTTGTGGTACGCCGGGTGCTGATGATCGTACATGATATTCGGCTACACCCACAAGAAGACTTAGTATATCGCCTCTGTCAGATGGGGAAGGGCTGGACGTACACCCCCATGACTCAAGAAATACACCGGCGTTTTCGACATGGTGGTGGACTCGACCGTAGATCGACCTACTGCGGAGGCGACCGGTGAGCTGAAGAAGCGACGGAGACGAAACAGGTTGGCGGTTTTGGGGGTGGTGGTACTTTGCGAGCTTGGCTCGGTGATGGATGCGCCCGAGTTCGCAAAGCGGGTAATAGCAACAGCAAGTAGGAGGGCAAGCAAAGATATTAATGCAATCGTTGAAGGTTTGCGATGGGTGGGTTGGTCTTCAGGCGCGGGTGTGGTGGGAGACATATAAAAATAATCAAAAGAAAGATATCTTCCGGTCTACAAGGTTCAGTACGGTAGTAGTAAAAAGCACGCAATAAGGTGTTCAGCTTCCCTTTCTGGGGAAAGTTTAGAAACAATGCGACTGGTACTGCAGAAATTCGAGATCAAACCACCAATAGGAAAAAGCAACTCGGGCGTGATTTATAACTGGCACTTCGTACCTAGAACATGCGAGAGCCGATCTTGCTAATCCACAGCACATCCGATCGGGTGGTGACCAATCCCTCACTCGGGAGTGCGGAATTGCCCCGCGCCCTCCCGACGGAATTGCCTCCCTCCGCATGCGTGTATGGACAATGGACAACATACACATTGCACGACAATGATCCTTGGGTCCTAGCTCTCATACACTTGAATATGAGTCCTGACAGGTGGTTTTGACACGGGTTCTACATGACCAAGCTTGCATCGTAGATTAAGACAAAGTGAGAAGGTGCTTGAAAATATATATAAAGAAGTGTAACAAGGTGCTCAGTCTGAAAGACTGAAAGTGCTTCGCATGCCTGTCCCATCTTTGGACATTTGAAGCGGTGACCCCAAGGTTGGATATCCTAGTATTAAAGTTGTGGTAGTATTACTTGTGGTTAAGCACATGATGAAAATAAGCTGCTGGGGCAAAACGCATGACTGAAAAGCCTCAGCTATGCTGACACGCTGATCGCAAGTGGAAATGCATTGGGGGAATCAAGAAAGAGAAAAGAGATGAGCCCAAGTGCAGATCAACCAAACCATAGCCAATGCGTCTTCAGCAAAGAGAAGTGATTAGTATGTATAAAGCCTACCGATCCAGACGAGGCGCTATGGGCACGTGCCATGACATATCGCATCAAACGATTAAAATGATGTAAGTCTTCGTATCAGTAAATGGAGAAATTCAACCCAAGAAAAAAGATATATATGTGGATGATTCACATAAGAACACAATCTCCGTCATTCTGCTTTTGCTGATTGACGGCAGACCGAGAAAGACGGGTCTTCTGCATACGAGCTCCACCCTGCTTAATTTCCTCAAGGCGTTCACGAGCCTTAGGAAATCCTTGTGCTAAGCGACGAGAAAAGTGTCAGTACCAATCCAGAGTTATGCCAGGGGCAGTACTAACCAGCTGCGCGCCAATACCATCGTTTTGCGTCTTCCAAGTTTGCGACAACGCCAATTCCAACTTCAGTGAAATAGCCCATCGCGTACTCAGCCTTGGCAAGGCCGGCAGTGGCGGCCTTGCGAGCCCAGAGATACGCTTCCGTATCACTCTGTTGCAGGATCCCCTCCCCACCCGTCAAATACCACCCACTCAGGGCCAATTCGCTCTGATGTTCTCCTTGCGCAGCAGCATGTGTGTAGTAAATGATACTCTGCCGGGGATCCACAGGACAACCCATCAGGCCATACTCATAGGCATTGCCCAGGTAGAATTGGGAGAATTTATACCCTAGTTCTGCGGCTTGATGGAACAACTGGCTTGCGTAGGCTTCATCGCGTGCAACCACATCGTTTCCTCCGTTCGCATACATCAATGCTAATTCGTGGAGAGCATGAGGATTCTCTGCGTCTGCGCGGTCTGCTGCACGCTTAAGCCAGGCAACTCCTTCACGCGGGTTTTTAGCTTGGCCTAGTAGACCCTTCAACAGAATCATTCCCATCTTATACATCGCAGGGGGGTCACCAAGGGCAGCTGCACGTTTATACCATTGAACAGCCTTGAACGGATCTCTCTTAGTGCCACCACCTTCCTCTTGACCTATCTCACAACAAACCGCAACACGGTACGCCGACTGAGCGTGTCCTTGCTTCGCAGCAGCATAATATAAGCCAAAGGCTTCCTTAGGGTCAACCTGTAGACCCATCTGGCCCTGACCGTAGCAGTCGGCCAGATAGAATTGTGCATCGGCGTACCCGGCAGAAACCAGTTTTTTGACAATCTTATAACCGTCCATGGTGTACTTTTCTCGGGCTTTGGCTTTCGTCTTTGGATCCATCCGACTAGCATCAACCAGAACAGTCGAGGCCTCAACCAGCTTTTGCGCAAAAAGCAGCTGGGTCTTGCGGTCATTGGGTTTCGCCTTGACCAACTGCTGTAGGCGCTGCAACTCACCTTGTGTCACCGGACCAGATGGAGCTGATTCAGCTGGTGGACTTTGCGGTGCTGCCGGAGGAGATCTTGAGCTGCCGACGCTCTCGTATTGGCGCATTGGAGCAGGCTTGGCTGCCTGCTCAAGACCGGGCCGAAACGGAACAGGGTGGTGTGGAAGAGCATCTGGGTTCTGCTGATCATCAAGCATTTCGGGCTGATTGATGGGTGGACTGTGGTCATTAACGGCTCTATATGGTTGAGACTGTCCATTGCCGTAGGGAGGAGTGTCCCTGGTAGCGTAGCCTGCTGCACCATCCGCATGCGCCGGTCCAGGAGGACTCCAATTGTCGCTTCGTTGCATGTATGGGTCTTCGTAAGGATCTGCGTTATATGCATAACCTGATTCCTCGTGATGACGTGCACCAGGGGGTCCTTCACCCCCGGGCAAATCAAATTGAAAACCTGCGTTTGCAAATTGATTGGGCGCAGGCCCTCCCCGCGGATCAGATTGAGGGTGCGCGTAAGGATCGTCTGCCGGTTGCGGATTAAAAGCGGTGTACTGGGCCTGATATGACGTGGGCGATGCAGGGGATGGCTTGATCTTCGGCTGTTCCAAACCAGGCAGGCTTTCATCAATAATACCGCCCTTGGCAGGATCAGGCATAGCATCGAAGTTGGGCATATCAGGCTCTTCCGCCTGTTTGCGATTATAATAGCTATCCACCCATGCCGCGGTGTCAAACCTTTCATGGGGTCCTTGTGGGGCTGCATAGCTGGGCTCTTGATAAGTGGCCTGTCCTGGGTATAGTGGCTTGGGAGGTATGCTTTGTGCCGGTGAAGAGACAGGCATGGTCGCGCTCCTGTTAATATGGGGGACAGGGGGCGGCTCCTGTGGGTCCGTATATGGTCCATTGCGCCGTTCAAAAGAACCCGGAGATGGGCGACCTGTGCTGGCGGACCTCGCTGGTGTCCCTGGAGTGATGCTCCTACTTCTACCCGGAGACATAGGGTGGGTGGGCCGCTTAGCATGAGAAGTATGCGGGCGATCCGGAATCTGTGTAGGTACTGTTGCACCGCCATTGAGACTTATAGCAGCCATCCCGCTCTCAAGACCTACTGGTCCACGCTGGTCTTGGGCGGGAAATGAGGTGTTGATGGTAGGCGGTTGCGGGGGACGTCCGGCTGAATCAAGATATAATGAGCACGTGAGCCGATTTGGTAGAATATAAACACTCACGCAGTCTAATACGATCCTGTCTTGGAGGTGGGATTCGATCCTCGGAGCCACGGCGACCATCATACCCTTGCGGTGATGGGCCTCCACGATATGCATGGCTTCGGTCATCCCTCGGGGGGCCGTAACCACCGCGCGGGGCACCGCGGGGCGTTGGCCCATGTCCATATGACCTCGGAACTGCACCTTCGCCAGCATATCCATATCCGTGGTTGTCATGGACCCCATTGGGGAAGCCACGGTAGTTGTTATCATAGCGACTCTCAGGGTAACCATCTTGTGGCGGGTAGCCCCTCCCACTGGGGGCAGGCTGAGGGGGACCGTAGTTTCGTACAGGCGGAGCCCTCTGTACTGGACGCTGCTGATATGCCATGACACACTCGAAGACCTCATGCACAAGGAAGCGAGTGAATCTGAATGTGTGCGGCGAGTGAGAGACGCGTGTTCTTTGTTCGCAAGGTGTAGCGACAGTTATATTCTGCGGGTTTGGATTGATTGGATCAAATTGTTTGTCTCTGTCGTCTAGCCAAGCTGCAAGATCTAGTAAGGAGGAGAAGAACCGGAGCGATTCTGTGCTGCAAAGCCCTGCACTGGTCGCAAAAGTCGCAATAGGGGCGCGTGGCTTACTCAAAGCTAGGTCCGCACGAAAATCATTCCAACACAATAATTTAGGAGTTCCATGTGAGATGTACGATCATCGGATACAAATGGGCGCGCGCGATAAGGAGTCCAATCGGCCTTCATTGAGACGAGAGACAATGTCAGTGGGGAGGCCATGGGCGCAAAGAATTGCAGAAGCGGAGAGCGCAAATGCGCAGAGCCAGCTTAACTCACCCAGAACACGCGCAATGAATGTCGCCTGCTTCAGAGTATGGAAATGGGTTCGTTTCCGAGAGGATCCAGACCCAAGAACACAATCAATGAAAGGAAATGCTCAGTCAGCTGTAAAGAACGTGTGTGAGCCCCAGGAGTGAGCCAGCAGCAGGCAGCACATGGACAAAAAGGAAAAGGAGGAAAGAGGAGGAGTAGAAGGCGCGGTTGCGTGTCGCGCAGGTGAAGCAGTTGAGTGGAGGGAAAAAAGACAGCCCAAAAAAAGAGGGGAAGACTATGGCCCGCGGCGGTAATTTAGACAACTACACTATCTCTATCTGGGGTGATTAGCAACAAAGATAGCGTTCAAAGAGAAAAGAAAAAGAATGAGAAAGGAAATAGAAACGGACTTTTCAAGATTTTTATGATCCATCATCCTTTTTAATCTTTTTTCCCCCTTTGGACCTATTATCCCTCGTCTCCTTTAATTTACATAGCAGTCCACACCTCTCGCATAGCTGATTTGTTTCACGCTGACCGGCACCTGACGCTGACGCTGAGGAACAGTTCTCCCTCCTTTGGCTGGAAAGACCCACGTTCGTTCCGCCAATACTCGCGCTCATGTCCCACTAACTGAGCCTGTCCCTTGTGGCCGACAATGACTGCTCCTTTCTCTCATGTCATTCGGGCCCTTCGCGCGCTTAAGGGTGGGCGTTGTCTCGGCAGCGTCGGAAAGTCGGTTGTTGATGAAGATGGGTCTTCTTTTTGATGGTCACCGAATCCGCAAGATTGGGGTGCAATGACCTCTTGGCATGGCGCTAACCAAGGGACCAAACTACTCCGTACAATTGTGACGTTTTAGTCGGTCCGAAGAAGGGAAAAAATAATCAAGTCACGGTACACATATTCCCGACAACGGCCTCGAGTGACCCCGAGCACTACTCCTTAAGGGCACACTCAATCCTAAGCCCACAACATTCAACGCATGTCTATCAGTGATCCCTGATATGATCCCTGATCGAAGAGCACAAAGCACCATCGATCGTCAGGGGTCGATGCTTGCAACATCAAGCAGATCATGCCGAGCCTCAGGCGGCAGCAAAGAACCAAAGACAGGGCGGTGAGAAGTGCTTTTGCTCCACATTGCGCCTGTCCCCAGCAGAACAATTGGTTTACCGTATTCTATCCAAAGCCCCGGCACAAGTCTCCGTCTGGAGTGTAGTCGGGCTCGCGCTTCTTTAATTGGTCTTTCCGTTTGCTATACTGTGGCACCGGTTTCATTCACAAATTTTGACGCCCGATAGAAACAATCCCCATCAGTGCCATAAGGCACAGGCACCAGTTTTCTTCAACCCTTGGGTCTGTCTTGTACTACAGTGATCATCCAGCACAGTTGTGTAGCTTAGCAAAGGTAGTGATGATCTGGAGATGATCTTCATTAGTATCGGCATTTATCCCTGCTGAAATCACACATAGTATAGTTTTATGGTTCTGATCTTGGAGCTCGGGGCAAGTAAGGATAAGCTTGCACTGGGAATTGAAAATTCATGAGCGTAATCATGCATCAAAAACTCATATGATGATATGCCCCAGGGCCTGATGCTTTAAATATAGTTACATGGAAAAGAGATGTCTAAGACATTGGAGTGTCAAGGATGCGGATGCGGGATAAATTCCTGCCAGGACATAACCTGATTGGAGCTGAATACCAGAACCTCAGACTGTACCATACTGCAGAATGTGTGCCGCAGAGTATGAGGCATAAAGGCATAAGGCAGTCAACCACATACCAAGTGGAGCAACAAGGCTCCTCTCCATGGGCTTAGTTGCTTTGGTAGCAAATCACAGTGAACAAAACCTGTTGTCGATGGGTGTGTAATCCAATGTCGGGATTGGCGGATAACGACACAGCCACATGCTGAGCCACGAGCACTAGCCTCAAAACTGTGCCACACGCTCGCTGTCTACCAACACCCGCGCGCGCGGATGACGATGGACTGATGCTCAATCGAGAAGAAGCATATCGAAAATCGCAAACAATCATAGTCAGCCCGAGGAGTGTCTCGCGAACTCGGCATCTCTGCACCTCTTCACCCCGAAAGCTTAGCAGTCTTGACATCATCGCTCAAGACGGATAGTCATCCTCCGAACGCTTCGCCATCATGTCTCGTGCAGGAACTTGGCTGAAGATGCTGGGAGTGTAAGCTGGGTTCCCAAGCGCACCACCTCAATTATGTCTGAATTAGCTTCTGACGGTCAATAGCGGCGTCGTTTGCTGCGTGGGAGGCCCGGCCTTCGTGCAATACATCCGACCCACGGACGAAGAATTGTTCAAGCGCTACAACCCCGACCTTCAGAAACGGAGTCTGGAAGAGGGCGACCGACGAGCACGGGATTTCGATGAATACGTTACCAAGTTGAAGCAGTGGTCCAAGTCTGACAAGCATAGTATGTTGAGATCTTTCTCTATGCCGATGCTGCATGAGAAATCATCGTTGTGCGGCGTGCTGACACCTCTTGATGTGTAGTTTGGATTGCCGCGCAAGAACAACAGGAACAGAGACGCTTAGAGGCGGAAACACAAAATACGCAGGCGAAGGAAGACGCCAAGGCGCAAAGAGAAGAGATGCGGAAGGAGTTGCTTGGTGGGAAATAAGAGCAAAGAAGGTATCAGTACGGAAGCAAGATCTATCATGAAGCCTCCGGCTCTCGATCGTTTCTGGTGAAACGAGAAGGGCGTTCTTCTCCTCTTATCAACAACGCCATGTACTTATACCCCATATAAGAAAGTTGGGGAAACTCAAAAGCAGTCTCTCGAATCGTCGTGGACCCAGGCGTGTGCGGAGTTACATGGGCGATATTGTATTATATTTCATTTCATTAATGTGTGAACGACTGACTGGAAATCCACTCTATCTGTATTCTTTTACTGATGCTAAAGTTGAGATCATGGATTGGGCTAAGGAAGACTACGGCAGACCATTATCAATCGTAGAGGGTTCTCAAATTTATTGTGCTTCGCTATATTGATGGTGCGGGATTGCTACTATAGCTCCGATTCACGAAATTGGTATCAGTCGCGTAGTTCAGGGTTCCTTATAATTTGGGACATTTATATGGCCATACAGTGACTTGATCAATGTTATAAGTGTCTACGAGAAGCTTCCGAGTCAGCTTAGCTACTCTTCGGAATATCAAACACGAATCCGCTCTCTCTTTCCATGGCATGGTATATCTTGGGGCTTGAAACGCAGTACCCCAAAACTATCATGTATACCCCAAATGATGCATGTCCAGTACAGTACATATCTATCTGCAGGACAAGTACGTATGCTTTTCAACCGGGGTATATGAACACCTGGCGATGCAGCAGGATATGTTGTGCTGGAAGTGACGTATTTCATAACTCGTGCCATATCCCCAGCATGTCTACCAAGATTTGCATTCTTGCGAAGAATACCTGACCATAGATGTGTCAAAACGATGACGATGATGGGAGATCTCAACAACCGTTATTGAGGATTGACATAAGTGATTGGTAGGGTCCACGGTCTATTCCAGATTCGGATTCAAGCGCGAGGGATCGCCACGTGAAGCCGACGGCGGGCGAAACACTGCATAGCCACTAGGCTGAAGGTACGGTGCTTCCAGCCTCCTCCCGTTCCTTTAGCAACACATGACTTGGCATGACAATTGGCGTACTTCTGATGCCCAATGGGCCACTTTGGCGGGAAGATGTCGTCGCTGTGTTCGAATTTGGGAATGAATGAAAGTATCAATGGTCCAATTTCGTAGAGACAGCCAGTGGGTGGCATGTCATGTATGTAAAGTAGATCTGTCACAGCAACTGTGTTTGATTATTGTTTGGATAGGTGGTCGGCTAGCAGGTCGCATATGCATGTGGCCTCTCGCAGAGTCGCAAACCTTTTGAGAAAACACCATGTTACTGTAATAACACACCCTTCTTGCGACTTCTTTGTTCCATGGGTGCTGGGTTCGAATCCATTCTAGCATAAAAATAGCTGCCTGCGAGGCGGGCTGTCTTTCCCAGCCAATGCTTGGTCACGTGTTGCGCCCGCCCCCCCGACCGACCCGAAACGCCTGTAATCTCCAGACGGCGGGCGGCGATTCATCACACCTTGTCAGCTTCCCTCCAGCAACACATCTACCTTACTCCACTACATCAATCATTTCACAATCTAATCACTTTCCACGACTAAGCAGTACATTCGATTCCTCATTCTCCCCAGACGACTGCACGCCGACCTGCTAGACTTGTTGCCACGACTCCCACTTCACCCCCTGCGGAAGGAACAAACAAAAGAGCTCATCAACCTCAACACCGCAATTTGGTGATTTACCAGACCCGACATCTCGTCTCCTACACACAAACCGAGTACATCGCGCATCGCAGTCATGTCTGAGCAGCCTTACGATCCTTACATTCCGTCTGGATCCAACGGACCCAGCGCTACCGCTGCGCAAAATGGCGACCCTCGGACGAGGGAGATCGACAAGGTGAGTTAACGATGGGCCCCTTTTCCATGCGATGTGCTTCCAGAGCGTACTTGGGGAGCGCTTGGATAGTGCTTAGCATCAAGAAAATGTGGTTGCTGCCTTTACTTGGGCATATCGTCTGCTCTGACGGACTACTGCACGTTATCGAATGAGCTGTCTGACTGACGAGCGTGTTTCCTCAAACAGAAAATCCAAGAGACCGTCGACACGATGCGCTCAAACATATTCAAGGTCTCGGAGCGTGGCGAGCGCCTTGACTCGCTTCAGGATAAGACCGATAATCTGGCAGTATCAGCCCAGGGCTTCCGCCGTGGCGCCAATCGGGTGAGGAAACAGATGTGGTGGAAGGACATGAAGATGCGCGTATGCTTGATCATCTGTGTCATCATTTTGCTTGTAGTGATTATCGTCCCTACTGGTAAGATCTACATCTATAACCTTGATCCGCTGTCCACTCGGCAATTGGTTTCCGGATGCGCTAACCCTTAATTTCAACCACAGTGATCACCACCAGAAAATAAGTTACGAACGCAGCGACAGTCATGATTGTCTTGGGAATGGATGACGTTTTTCTTCTTTTTCACTTGGTCCTGGTTTATCTGTGTTGTGCCCGTGAAGCTTTTGTTTCCAGCTACTAATACCTCTTGCTTTTTCTCGGGCGTCGAACTATCCCTGTTCTCACGAATGAAGTCTTCTTGCCTCGCCGCACCATTGACGCCATGGGCTGCTCTGGGGTCCTGAGGCTATGCCACATGAATCCATCGACTGTGAAGATGTAAATGATACTCTGGTGCTCGCTCATGTCCTAGTATATCAGTGCGCTTTGTCTTTCTCACTTCGTTTCCTATGCTACCCTTACGGGTATGCCTGATGTTGTGTTGCTGCGTGTCCTTCGTTCTTTAGCCTCTGAATGTCAACAATAAATTCCTCATGAAACTTCGATCCAAGAAGAAAACAACAAAAGATGCAATGGCAGATCCAGCCTGTTTAGCCTTAAAGTTCCAAATCGCACCACCCACACGTGATTCCGAAGCAACGGAGAAAGAGCTTCGGCGGGGACGGAATGCTGTGGACCATACAATGAGAAAAGTATCCATAATGAAGGACAGGTGGCCAGTGAACAGGCTAGGAGGAGTGTTCGGTTAAGGGAGGATCAGATAACGAAAGAGAACCAGAGTCTGAGAGACACTCATGGAGATGGCACTTGAAAAGGGAAGTGCGCTGGGGCACTGCGGGCAGTGGCTCCAGCCTCCAGAGAGCATTGATGGCAATGATTCGCTAGGGAGAGGGTAGTGGGTGGCTAGTAAGATCAGATAACGATTCTCAGAAATTATTATTGTATGATGGAAATTGATCCGGGACGTTTCAAGACTCCATTTTGCAATTTTCATTACGTGTGGGGATGGATACCGGGAGGGCAAGCATTGCCAGCAAGCCTAGGATGTTGGGGGTGGGTTTCTAGGTGTGTAGTGCTGAGAACCTGTGATTGCTGGGAACTGCTGGGAACTACTGGGAACTGCTGGAACTTGTCTCTGAGAATTTCATGGGAACCAGAATGGGGCCCTGCCGTATCCGTAGTTTGATCCTGGATCAATCAGTTCACCTAATATGAATGATGTGGTGAGTCATGCTGGGAAAGAGGAGCTCCGAAAGTCGCAGTCGCAGTGGCAGCGCGCACGCACGCAGGCAGGGCCAAGGGCAAGTTGTTCGGGCAGTTGTGCGGCGCCGCTTCCTTGCGCAATTTATTCCACTGGCTCGTTCGAATTTCCCTCAATTCCGAGCTTACCCAAAGATTAGGACTTTCCAGCAATGGTTGTAGGGAAAGACAAGTATAAAGAGGGGGAACGTAGGAAGGGGGTCTGGTCGCGAGTTGATGTAGATGTAACTCTTTTATCTTAAGTACTTGCAGGGAGGGAACGATCTCTCCCGGAGTGGGCACTAACTCAACTAAACCAACTTCTAGTTACTGACTAACTTACTACTTACCAACCTGCGTGAGTCAAGAGTAGGTTTCCGGCCGATTGCAGAAAATGGAAGACGCCCGCTCCGACAAGTAGCCGATCATCACTTTTACCATCTCGACCATCAAAACTCTTTGGAGCCTGCGGCAAATTCCCTGGCTGCACCCGAATTGGCTCCCTCCACACAACCAACCTTTTAACTCATTCCTCCTTGTCACTTTTCTCCTCCTTCTCCTCCTCCTCCCCCCTCTCCCTTCTTCCTCCTCCCTCTAACAATCTTCTTCCATTTTTCAACAGCTTCATTCATACTTTCGGGCTTCTCCCCCCTCCCCTCAACCTTTCTGTTCGAGTAGGCGCAAAAGCTGCCGCATGTTGGCTGGCAAGATGTTCTCCCTTCGCACTGCCGTGCGGAGAGCTTCCCCCAGCAAGCCCCTCCGCGCGCTCTCCGCACCGCTCGCCGTTTCTCGCGCCAGAATCGGCTCCCCCTCTGCCCGTCACTCACTCAAAGCTTCTGCCGTTCCATTGTTGCAAGGGCGTCAATACTCTCGTGCTACCGATCCTCAGCTTTCATCCACCCGCTCCACGGTCGTTCAGTTGCTGAGCAACATCGGCTCCAAGCGGGAGGTTCAGCAGTACCTCTCCCACTTCACTTCCGTCTCCCAACAGCAATTTGCCGTCATTAAGGTTGGCGGTGCCATCATCACCGAGCACCTTCAGACTCTCTCCTCCGCCCTCGCTTTCCTGAACCACGTTGGCCTCTACCCCATCGTTGTCCATGGCGCTGGTCCTCAGCTCAATCGCATGCTCGAGGATGCTGGAGTGGAGCCTCAATTCGAAGATGGAATCCGCGTGACGGACGGAAAGACCCTGGCTCTGGCCAGAAAGTTGTTTCTCGAGGAGAACCTCAAGCTGATTGAGGAGTTGGAGCGCATGGGTGTTCGGGCCCGTCCGCTCAATGCCGGCGTCTTCACCGCCGACTACCTGGACAAGGAGAAATACAACTTGGTCGGAAAGATCAATGGTGTTAACAAGAAGCCCATTGAGTCTGCCATTGAGGCTGGCTGCCTTCCCATCCTCACCTCCATGGCCGAGACCCCCGATGGTCAGGTTTTGAATGTCAATGCTGATGTCGCGGCTGGTGAGCTCGCGCGTGCCCTTCAACCCCTCAAGATCGTCTACTTGGCGGAGAAGGGTGGCCTGTTTAACGGTGACACTGGCGAGAAGATCTCCGTGATCAACCTCGACGAGGAGTATGATCACTTGATGACTCAGTGGTGGGTGCGTCACGGCACTCGTCTGAAGATCAAGGAGATGAAGGATCTCCTCAGCGACCTTCCTCGCACTTCTAGCGTTGCTATCATCCATCCCGCCGACCTGCAGAAGGAACTCTTCACCGACTCTGGAGCCGGTACCTTGATTCGCAGAGGCAACAAGGTCCACACCAAGACCTCCCTGTCCGAATTTGAGGATCTGGACAAGCTCAAGGATGTCCTTGTTCGCGATCGTGAGGGCTTGGACGCCCGCGCTACTGTCGATCGCTATGTTGAGGGCTTGAAGGAGCGCGACTTCAAGGCTTATTACGATGAGCCCATGAATGCGCTCGCTGTTGTGTTGCCCCCTCAGAAAGACGCCACCTCTTCGCTGGCACACTTGGCTACTTTCACCATCACCAAGTCCGGATGGCTCACCAACGTCGCTGACAACGTCTTCGCCGCCATCAAGAAGGAGTTCCCTAAGCTTGTCTGGACTGTGAAGGAGGACGATGAGAACCTCACTTGGTTCTTCGACAAGGCTGATGGCAGTCTTAGCCGTGAGGGAGAAGTCCTCTTCTGGTACGGGGTTGAGAGCGGTGAGGAGGTCAAGCAGCTCGTTCAGGAATTCAACGAGCACGGCCGCCAGATGTTCGGAGACATCAACCTCGAATCGCGGTTGCATCGTGCTGCCCAGGCCGCCACCCACATCGGTAAGGGTTTCGGTGCTAGCGGTGCTTCTACTGAGCAAAGACGTGCTTTCTCCTCGACTAGCAACGCTCTCCGTGCTGCTCGTTCGACTCGCCCTACCGTTCCTGTGCAGGCTTTCAGGACTTACGCTACTACCAACCCCAACCCCCCTCTTGGAGAGAAGAACATGTCCAACACCCGCCCTTCCAAGGTTGCTCTGATTGGAGCCCGCGGTTACACTGGCCAGGCTTTGATCAACCTGATTAACGCTCACCCTCACTTGGACCTGCGTCATGTTTCTTCTCGTGAGCTGGCTGGCAAGAAGTTGCAGGGTTATGACAAGCGTGAGATTATCTACGAGAACCTCAGCCCCGATGATGTCAAGCGCATGTCTGCCAACGGTGATGTTGACTGCTGGGTCATGGCTCTCCCTAACGGTGTCTGCAAGCCCTTCGTCGATGCTGTTGATCAGGGTTCCGAGACCGGCAACGTGATCATCGATCTCAGTGCCGACTACCGCTTTGATGAGAAGTGGACCTACGGTCTTCCTGAGCTGGTCAGCCGTTCCAAGATTGCCCAGGCTACCCGTATCGCCAACCCTGGATGCTATGCGACTGCTGCTCAGGTTGGAATCGCTCCTCTTGTCCCATACCTCGGTGGACAACCCACAGTCTTCGGCGTTTCCGGCTACTCTGGTGCTGGCACCAAACCCAGCCCTAAGAATGACGTCGAGAACCTTACGAACAACATAATTCCCTACAGCTTGACTGATCACATCCACGAGAAGGAGATCAGCTCACAACTTGGCGCCAGCATCGCTTTCATCCCCCACGTTGCGGTCTGGTTCCAGGGTATCCACGTACGTTTGGCTCCTACTTCTGTCCCTTCTTCATTGGCTAACTTTGGTCCAGCAAACCATCAGCATTCCCCTCAAGGAGGAGTTGACTTCTCGTGATATCCGCAACATCTACCAGGAGCGCTACGCTGGTGAGAAGCTCGTCAAGATCGTTGGCGAGCCCCCTCTGGTGAAGAACATTGCCGGACGCCACGGTGTTGAGGTTGGCGGCTTTGCCGTTCACTCCAGCGGCAAGCGTGTTGTTGTGTGTGCTACCATTGATAACCTGCTCAAGGGCGCTGCCACTCAATGTCTGCGTAAGTAGCCCTGAACTAATTAATGGCTCTCCTGATTCAAAGAACGATGCTAACACTCCGTGTACAGAGAACATGAACCTTGCCCTTGGCTACGGCGAATACCAGGGCATCCCCCTTGATTAGGTTGTTTGCACTTGTTATTTAAAAGCACCATGTAACATCCATCTAGTCGAAGGGTAGGTATATAATCCTTCAAATGCAGGAAAACAGTTCTTCTTAATCCCGAGGAAGTATAGCCTCATGTTTCGAGTTTTGCTCTTTTTTGCATGTCCCATACCCCACGTGCATCTTCCCGGGTTGCCATGGGTCGGAGATATCAGTAAACACTCTATCTCTTTCTTCATATTCCATGGTTTTCTCCTGGTCTCTGTTTTTCATCTACTGTCTTCTGGTTATGAATAGATCGATCCTGGCAATTATTTCAACCTGTCTCCTTTTCTCTTAAAAGCACTGGACAGCGATTGCTGTTGTATTGTATTTCGTCTGGTTGGTGCTAATGCAGTGTAGCTGGCCAGAGGAGCGCCAAAAGCTGATTTAGTTATTCTCATCTTATGCGGGTGGTCTCAGGTGTTCTCACTTCCTTGTCGACTTGCTAGCCGGGCGTCTTTCCTTACGGTGGTTCGGATGCCTCTTCCCTAATACAATCCCCGATAGACAGCGGCGAATCATTTCATCAATAAGACATACTCTTAAGCTCAGATACTCACATCTCTTGCGGTTCATGTCCCTGCAGATTTGAAAACGTCGTTCGTTGCGGAAAGTCGGAGTGACCTCACGCGCCCAGACTCGTCATCTGAATCCTTTTCAACGCCGATACTGAAAGTCTCTTCGATTAATCTACCACTCTTGAGAGCGTGTCTTGCTCATTCAGGCACGCGTTACTTTCGTGTACGAGCTTCGCGTCCATATATCTAGTATTTGCTTGACTGTTACCTTTCCCAAGGACAAGTACTTCCCACACCTCTACCTCATCCCCGAGCCCAAATAACTTCACCTTTCAGGACAGCTCACTTTCCAGAATTGTCAGGGTTCACACCACAAGACCTTGCCGGACGTCATCTGCTCTCTGATCTTAATACCAGCAGTATTGGAGTCTCCAATCATTCTTTGACTTCACGTGCTCGACCCCAACCGCACAGCAGGCGGCTTGGGGCCGGTAGCATACAGCTCTTCGTTCAAAAATGTTCTACAGTCATGAAAGTAAGTCAACCTTCTAACTCGCGGAGGTTCACGTACTAGCTAAAGCATTTTCATTCTTCTAGTACTTACTTCTCCCGAGTACGGCGTGGCGACAATATGGTTCGCTTCAATTCCACGCGTCGACTCTACGCTTGAAAAACGTATAGAGTGGCTAATATGACCTTCGTCTTCAGGCTAGTCGCAACCCTGGGCTCGAAGTCTGTCACCAGACGTCTAAATAGAAAGACTATACTGGATGTGGATGTCCCCAAGGCGTGCGGCGCCATCATGGAGCCGGGGGCACCAATGGCACTGAGGCTTCAGGGAAATCTTCTGTAAGATGCTCACTGTCCAGATCGTGGTATGGGCTGTTTCATTTGCTTACAAGACACCCAACTACCAGATACGGGGTTTCAAGGGTTTACAGCCATCAATGCGGGTATACGCTCACAGATGTCCAAGCCATGCATGACAAAATGAAAACAATGCTGAAGACTCTACCGGGTGGTGGTCTGGACGCCTCTGCTGGGAAGGCTAGGTACGTCTCGTTTCCGTTAATGGGGGTAGCAGAGGGGCGTCTTTGAATTCTCTGACCACCGCTGGTATGATACTAATGTCCCTCTTTTATAGGCCCGAGCAGCTCATCTTGCCTTACGATCCCTCGTTCCTGCCTGATAGCCTCCCTGGGCTTATCCTTGACCTCTCGAGCTTCAATGCATTGACTGAGGTCGACCAGAGCGCATCGACCTTTTTCAATTGGCCAAAGACACCCAATTTGAGTCAGTCGGTCGTCTCGCAAAACACAAGTCTGCAATTGAGCCTGCCATCCGATGACAATTACGCAGGAGGCTTGGGGGGCTTCGCCTCGGATACCGATACTGTTGGGGATGGTCCGAGGTGCATTGCTTCGGAAAGGATCAGACCTTTTCCGCTCGACGAAGAGATGGGTGTGATTCTTCAAGCTGATTTCGAGTTCGACGAGGACGGAAACATTGTTGAGCTGGGAGCAACTCCCCAAGTTGGGAGTATATTACACAGTGTTGCTCACAGCCACCACGAAAGGGGGATCGCGAGTGATTTTGGGGTCTGTGCTGAAGAAGATATCATCATAGATGATCAGGTATACCTTTCGTGATGACTATATGTGACACAGTACTAACTCGGAGTTTATTCAAGATCAACATGATCGAGGACGGTCTCGGATTAGGCGAGAAACCCGAGCAGATTACCCGAGGTGCTGGTCATTTGCCGGCCAGATCAACACCTTTTCCCGACATGGTTCTAGATGACGAGGCTGCCCCAGAAGCACATGCAGTGTCAATGGCTCAGAAGCAAAGAGCCCCGAAGGTTATACAAGCGGATGACCAGATCGGGCTAAGAAACAGTGAACTAGCTCACCTGAACCAGAACTTTGTGGAACTTATGGCGATAGCCTCGAAGCAAAAGTCGAAGAACAAACTTCCTACACTATCGAAGAAGAACGCAGCCTTCTGGGTATATGGTCAGGGAATTGGCTCTGTTGGGAAGGGAGTAGGCAAGTCTCATGCGAAGCATCCATTGCATCTCTTCTCAGGAGAGCAACTTTACAACACTCTTACAGCGACTGCTGCCAGTCTGAGTCCTAAGCGTGTTCACGACTCCATAGAAGATGAGGAACAAGAACATACCGGAAGACGCGTACGAGCTAGGAATAATGGCCAGCCAGCTGATCAAACGGAGTTTCCCAACAATGATGATCTTTGGAACCAGGTTGGTTCTCTCATGTTTACCTGCCTTGCATAGAAGATTGGCTACTAAGCTATTTTGTGCAGGATGTTGAGATGGGTCGCCATGCCTCGTCAGTACTCCATGATGAAGGCTCCTTTCAGATGCCCTGGAATATTACAGCCTCTATACATAGCTCTCGACAGGGATCCATTGCTCGCAACATCCTCCCCGGTATTGGAAGTGTTAGTGACTTTTCATCACACGGCTTCTCTGACACAGGTCTTTTAAGGCCACGCAGCCGCATTACAAGCTCGAGCCCTCTTGCTGGACGTGGCTTTCCATTCGATATCGAAGCACTTGACAACCTGCAGCTCCCTGGTCACGAGCTGGAGGATGTAAACATGTTTGAGGACTTTGACATCTCGCAATACCTGCACACAGAACCGGAAGCAGACCACGGTGGAGTCGCCCGTAACAACGCAGTCGAAGCTATCGCGGCCGAACCTGGGCATGCTTCTGCCAGCCTCCCAACCCACGGGGATGACTCGCAGAGATCCACTCTCGACCAGGAAAGTCTGAACTTCCTCGACTTCCTCATCGCTAAGATTGCAGCATTGGCTCGTACAGATGAGAGAGATGGCCAGGACTTGATGCGCCCATCCTCAAGTCATTTTAGTGGTATCAAGCAAACAATGCACTTTTCTTCCCTTCTTCCCCCCGCCAAGACATCTCGCATTGTGGCTACCCAAGGTCTAATGCACATCCTCGCCCTGGCTACCAAAGGCCTGCTCACGGTCCATCAAGATGAGGCACAGTATCTAGGTGGTGACAAGTATGGCGAACTCTACCTGTATGGCGAGATTTATCTCAGTTTGCCAGAGATCTGAGAGTGCGCTTTGTATGTGAGCACATCAGCCGTCTCAGCTGATTCGGACAGCAGTCGGTACATACTAAAAACTCTGTATTTTTATGTTCAACATGGTCTCTCACATTCCTGTCTCTTCCCATCAGACTGCCCTCGTTTTTCTTTTCTATACTGATAGTTCGTGGTATTCTTTCCAACTTCTATGGTGTCGGATGGATTTACAATACGGTATTTAATGCTCATACAGATGGTGGTTCGCGAGCGGTTCTTCGTCTCACCCGAAACTTCCATTTGCAACTCACTTCGATATTTCTCTTCTTTACCACTTTTTCTATTTCTTCTGATTAATTATTGCGATCACTGAAGATTTCTCAATGAAATCCTTGTTGCCATGTCATTGCAAGCTCGAAATTCCCAAGACTTTTCATCATTAGCTGCTGGTGATGACTCAAGGATAGCGTCAGAGAAGGGTCGACGGTCTTTATTTGATGAATGGTAAGAATGTATGGATGGTTTGGTAGCGAATCGTAACAGTCAACGCCGACGAGGGCAGCGTTAGGCAGGAAGTATAAACTAAAAAAAACAAAAAGAAAGCCAATGCACATGAACAAGTAGGCCCGCATGTAACAGGGACAGAGGGGGGGGGATTGAGGGAATGTGACAGCGGTCTGGGGAGCAGTTCCTTCGCTTGGCATACTTACAGCTTACTCCATAACTACCTTATGAGGCTGGTCTTCACCATCTATTATAAGGCTTGATACCCGTTATCACCAATATTTCTGACAACTGACGACTTCTATACTACTTGGTGAACAATGGAAACATTACACCTCTTCCTACGGTGTCATCCCTCTACACGAGGAAATCAATTCAATGTCCAGCATTTCAGAGCATAGTAAGACACGGAAAGGCAGCACGCGTGGTTGAGGTGGCTGTGTAACCCCCCAGTGTGTCCTGACACAACATCTGATTCTGCAAGCCGCAGCCTTCGTCGACAAGGATAGATGGCCTTCGCAAGAAGAGAGGTGCATACGCAGATCTTGATGCGTGATGCGATCTCAATCTCTGTTTTATCACTTAAGTTAGTAGTTGGTTCTTTGGATTCCAAACACGGCCGACGCGGTGGTAAAACTGGGAACAGGTGGTATGATATGCTCGGACCCGTCTGGTCATGTTACTCTCTTACTTCGATACAGCCGGAGGTGGTATTCGTTAGTTTGCCAGTACTGCCAGTACTGTTCAGTAAGTTACCAGTACACAATTTTTGGCAGAGGTCTGTAAGGTCAGAATTTACTACTCCTTGGGATATACCGTGGTCGAAGAAGGTCAAAATGCGGTTGAAGAAACTGCATATCTAAACCTGTCACCCCAGGAGGTTGCTGGCAGCACACCGGCTTATTTTTAGGAAGAAGGAAGTGGACTCGGTCAGCCTGCCGCCTGATAGCCTTGGTTTTGACTTTGCGAAGAGGACTCATGAGTCGATCGTGTTTGAGGGGGTCGAAGAGGTGGTGATTGTCTTTGTGTCTGGATGCTGATGCATTTCATTCTCTATTTCGTCCGGTTAGATGAATCTGGTAGTTACGATAGATGAATGGTACAGTACAGGATAAAGAAGCAAGAATATTTTTCCATGCTCTGGCATTTTTCCCACCCTACGAAGAGGAGACTCGATCGGGTGAGTGGCTTGGTTAAGTTACTGGTTAGTCAGCCCAGCCCAGCCCGAATGCCAGGATCCAAATTACGCGGGCGATGTGTAAGGTCTCGTCCGTCTCGTCCGTCTCGTTCCGTTTTTAACGAGTTCGCGTAAATTAACCGCCACTTGCCGTCAGTTTGTCTCGTTTTGTTCTCGTTACCTCGTTCTCGTTCTGGTTTTGTCTTGTCTTGTCCCTCTCCCCCTGCTCTCTTCTCTCTCTCTCTCTCTTTTCTTTCTCTTTCCCACTCTCTTCCCTTCCCTCCCTCCACTTTCTTCCCGTCCCGTCAAACATTCATTGATTCTTCCTTTTCACTCTCGCTCTCCCCCCGAGTTTTGGCTGCCTTGTCCTCGTCCTGCTCCCTCGTTTCGCTCCCTCTCCCACCCTCCCCCTTCCCTTTAAATCATCCTCTTGAGATCCTGTGAGATCGTCTTGTAAATCAGGCGTGGTTTCTTTCCCTTTCACCCCCCCAATATCGATTTATTCACCCCATTTGTCGTGAACATGGGTCGGACAGTCGACCAGGAAGTTCACGCGGCGTTCGTCGAGTTCCGCGCCAAGGAAGACGATAAGGTGCGTGACTTTCGTATTTCCCGTAATATTTCCAAACGCCCGCCTACCAACAGAAACTACCCCCCCCCCCCACCGTCAGCACCCGTCATCGTTACTGACATAACGATTCTGTTTGTTTGCTCTTCGCAGTGCCTTTCCGTCCAGTGTATCTATTGCCAGCAAATCCGCGCAAAGAACACCTCGCGTCAGAAGCAGCACCTGCTCGAATGTCCCGGCCTCCGTCATACCAACCCCCAAGCTCAGTCACAGTCCGCTCAATCCACTACTAACGGCATCGGTGCTGCCAACGGATATCCTCCCACTCCCAATGGCGCCTCTGCCACAGCTCCCGGCGCTGGGCCAGGGCCAGGTGCCCTCGCGACCCCGAATGGACCCATGATGTCCAACGGTGTCAATCCGCATGCCACTCCGATGCAGACGCCGCTGCAGAATATGCAGGGACGCGCTTCCTTGCCGACGTCAGGCCCTGCCGGGGCCACCTCCACGGCCGCTGCCGCGCAGCAGGCCCCTCGTGCGACACCCAAGTCCAAGCCGAAAAACTCGTCCTCCAACCTCCCCGCCCCGCCCCTCGATGACGTGCATGCTGCTTTCGTAGAGTTCCGTGCGAAGGAAGAAGACAAGGTAAGACCCACACCGGGTTTCATGGGCGAGCGAAAACACGCGCGCGGCCTGCACGGAAGTTCTGACGCGAACTTCTTCTCTTTCTTATAGTGTCTGTCCGTCCAATGCATATACTGCCAGCAAGTCCGCGCGAAGAACACGAGTCGACAACGCCAACATCTGCTGGAATGCCCCACCTATCTCAGTGTCATGAAGGACTCGATCCCCGCCAACAACCTTCTCCACACCTTCCCCGAGGGCGACGTGGCCCGCTCGCTGCAGATCCCCGCGCCTACTCTCGAGTTGGACTTTCGTATGAGCATCAAGATGAACCCCAAGGTCGCTGTGGGCGAGAGTATCTGGGGTCAGCGTGACTGGGTGACATTTGTGGGAGGGCAATGGGCAGGTCGATGGGGCAAAGGCATTATTTTGGTAAACACCTTTCGTGCGCCAGAAGAGGGCATTCGCATCATGCTAACCTGATATTAGCCTGGGGGACAGGATTCTCAGATCGTGACTAAGGAGTCATCCACCAGCCTTCGAGCGAGCTATATGCTTCAGACCGCCGACGATCCTCCCGCGTACATTATTGTGAAGACCAATGGATGGTTGACTGGTTCTAAGGACGTCTTGGACAAGGTCAACGACCCGACCGTGGCCGATGGTGTCAACCCGAACACGTACAAATATCGCATCAACCTATCTATGGAGACCGGAGATGAACGTTACGCATTTTTGAACACCCTGATGTGGATTGGCAGTGGCTGTCGCCGGAACCAAGAAGGTTAGTCGGACCTTCTTCTCCTACTATGCCCTACCATCACTAATGCTCTTGAACAGTTATTTTCGACGCCTTCCGCGTCAACTAATTTGCCATAAAATTGCAGCTGTTTTGTCCGTTATTAAGCGAGTAGCAAATTTGATTTCATGGGGGGAAATTGCGGTCCATCTTCTCTCTGCTCCTGGGGAATTGCTTCAATCCCTACTCCTTTTTCTCAGTCTATATCTTTCATCTGCCTCCAGCCGAACGGGTGCGTTGTGTGGTATCTATGAATGTTTTGACCGTTGTAATCCGCCTGAACACCCTGTTCTTTCCTATCTTGTGGGGATACAAGTGACAATATCTCATCATCAGCCATAACAGTCACGAATCTGCTTATTGATGTGTTTGTTCCGCCATAGTGGCAAATGCAGCACATTGCAGCTGAAATGTTTCATCATGAGCTTTCTTCTTATGTTTTTCAGCCTCAGCTGCTCGGCCTCCGCTTCTCTACCGGTGCTATCTCATTTCCTACTTGTGTAAGATCTTCAATCTCCTTGTTTTTGCCGTGTTTGTCATCGCATCCAGGAACCCAAATTGCCATGACCAATGTCATTCTGTCCGGGGTCATAATTTTTTCTTCTTGTTGGTCTGTACCCGTATCGAAATCTCGGACATATAATCTCATTCACAGAAGGGAATGTTTCTCTTCTTGCGCGTGTGTATATGTCATATGTGCGTGTGTGCGCGCGTGTCTTATGTATGTGCAGGTGAAGATCTTAGGGAAGTCTCACGATAGTCAACTAGGTGGTAGAAACGATTGTTGCTGCAGCTTGTTGGACATCTGGCATATCGTTTAGTTAGCCCTTCATAGCATTAATAAATTCAAAGAGAGAGGCACTTGTTGAACCCCGGTGTCTATACCTGCGGACCATAGATCTAGACCCTGAAATATATTTCCCTTACTGGGCGGAAGTAAAGTAAGAGTGGTGTTGGTGCATTGCGGGTTGCGGTTCGGTATTTCGGCGGGTATTTACCCTAGTGAGGTATGCTTACAGAATACCTACCTCGTCTCGTACCTGGTTTGGTTACCGAACCTCATCATACCCAGCTCCGTACCCGATGGGGGAAAGTGGTAACTCACGTTAGTATGGTAGTAACTTATCTTGTTATGGGACATCAGGTACCATGTTGACACTTCCATTTCTGATCTTTGGTTACGATTTTGCTGGGTACTGAGTCCCGAGCGATGCGCTTAAGAGGGTGTGTTCGGGGATGGTGGGTGTAATTGCTAATTGCTTTTGTTTGGTTCTGGGCTGGGGGTTGTCTTCGAGAATAGGATGATCTCTTTGGGTGTATTGGATGATACTGAGAGTCAAATCCTGATGAGTGTAGACAGAATTTGTTTTTGTTAGATACAAAAACGTGCTTGTTGTTGTGTGGGCTCGCAGACTGCTTCCTTGGAAGGGGAGGCTGTACTGCACCTGCACATTTGTTCACACCCTCTTTTGGATACATAAAGTAGCATTTAAGAGATTGTTCGTACGATGAAGTTGGAACTAGCTCAACTCAAATTCCTCAAAGTAAAGAAAAAGAACATGCGTCTTACTCGTGACAGAAATGAGAACCACATAGAAACGCTGCTCAGGATTTGAAAACATGCCGCAATACAGTCAAACATAGGAGAGAAGAGGCATGCATGCAACGGAGACCAGGCTGTAGCTTACTAGGCAATGGCTTCAGACTGCATCTCTGCCTCCCAGTTGTTTAAATCACAGCGTAATCGTTAGGCAGACAGAGATCTTTCTTGTAAGCAGCCCCACAATCGACACCGACACCTTCTGCAGCTGCCTTGATAGGCTCGATGAATGACTTTTGAAGCGCATCAGGGACACATTCGCATCGAGCAGCAGTGGGCGGTTCCAATTCTTTGAGAAATTTGCACACGATGATAAGTAGTCCGAGGTTAAGAAATTTCTGCGCCTTGCATGCGAACAGTTCCATCAACTCCTGATGGAGTCGATCGGTATGCTCCGCATGGCACTTCAAGAGACGCTCTAAGCTTCCAGGCAGGATATTCTTCAGAGCCTTGTTTGGCTCGAAACTCTCGGAGCGGAAGTTTAGGATATTGACAACACGCATGCGTAGCTCTTGCAACTTCACAAAATCTGCTAACGAGCCAAACCAATTGTCAGGATGATCAAGCTCAGACTCTGCCTCTCCGTCATCATCTTCATCAAAATCAGATTCAAAGTCAGGAAATGACTGGCCGTGAAGCCCGAGCTCTACCAGGCTATGCTTTTGCGTTGAAAGGGATTTGTAGAATGCGCTGGGACGAAATCTCTTGAATGACTCCACAAGCAGTTCTATGTCGTTATGATGCCATTCGAAAACTTCGAGGTTCTGGAAGGCTGTTATTAGTTCTCTCATGCCATACCTTCCGTTGCCCATTATCACGACTTCAGTGATGGACAAAGTCCCCCGTTCGAACCCAAGGTCAGGCACTGTATCACCGTTGTCTGAGTCCAGCAAACCGCACCACAGTGTGACCTGTCTCATAGATGGGGGATCAAAGAAAGGTAGGTAATCGCTCGCCTGGGATGGTACCCACAGGTCAGCTGGACCGGTCTTAGTACTAAAGCCATAGAGCTCCTGCAATATAAATGTGAAGGCTGCCTCTGCTGCCTGTGACACGATACTGCGAATGAATTTGCCAACAAGCGATGCGGACTCCACGTAAAAACCAGAAAGATCTGGCAAATATGTCAGAAGAACAGCAATCCATGCATCGCAACCACCTATAACCAACTCCTCTTCCCATTCCGTAGTTTCTTCTGGTGACTGGCTGATCTCTGCAACACGGCTGCCGATGCTAGGGATATCATTCCTTGTAACCTCAAAGTTGGTACTTGACGCTCTGATATTCAGAGCGACGTTGGTTATAGCAATAGACGGGTTACGCTGGACTGTGGTCAAGAGAGGCTCTATTTGCTTCTCATTCAAACTTATCACGTGGTAGGCACGAGAAAGAAACAACGAACGCCAGCGCTTACGCACGAGAAGCAGAGGCATGTAATCATTATGATTGAAGCTTTGCATTTTCTCTTGCCCAATAAGTAGTAGAATCTCATTTGGCAGCTCTTCCATGTTGAAACTCAGTTTAGGAGGAATAATCAGCGTATCACTCAGTTGATCAGCCCCGTGGTGGCCGAGGGATGGCTTCCTGGTCTCAATGCTCGGGCCAGACAGAAAAAGGAGGAACTATAGAGAGCCTCACTTTTCGACGAATCTGTTAGCTGATAAAGTAAAGAGAACAAGAGAAGTGATACACGTGGGTATCAGGCATGGAAGGAACTTTCTTACCTTGAGTTGGATCGCCCGTCACTAAAAAGAAAAGTATACCTTGCGCTCAGTTTTTGGGATAGCAGTTCCACAGCAGATTCTGGTAAGCCAAGACTTGTGATGGGTGGTATAGAATGAAGAGAAAGGTAAAGTTAAGGTTCAGGATTCGTGTTGATTGTTTATTGGAGAAGTAGAACAGAACGATCACTGAAGTCGGAGAGACGAGTGTAGTAAGTGAGGTGGTCCTGTAAGTGGATTCTGCGAGAGCGCGAGGGAGGACTAAGTGACCGACACTCCACCTTCTGCCTTCTTTCCTGTCTTCCACACTACCTCCAACCTTTCTTTAACTCTCTTTATTTATGTTCTTTTGCGGCTATCTCAACCCCTCTCTGAATCCCAAATTGTTTTCACACCAGCCCACTTGCCACTCCGCAGATCTTCAAGATTTGATCTTAGCATTTTGTGAGAATCGATTTCACATCTAGAGATTTCCAGAGAAACAGCATCGACTTAGCGGTGCCCAATGTCAAGATAATTTTGACTTGACTGCGGGACAAAACGGAGAAGTTAGCTTCAATGAGTTACAGAAAAGGACCTGAAATGAGTCAAATTGGGCTCACAACTCACTTCCTCTTGCAAAATGAATTCATTCTGCTACCCGTTCACCGTTCCACGGAGACGACCTTGAATGCATAATATGAAACGAGCGAAGGCATCGCGTCAGACACATAGTTCTGAGAAGCTTGGATGGTGACAAGAAGGGCGTGGAGGACATAGAGCTTGTCGCAACCAAGGCCATGCGAGTCTCTCGAGAAATACCAACACTTGTCAATGTATTGCGCTATAGTGCGGTGTGCGCGCTACAAACAAGTAGGATAGGCAGCTCCGACGACACTTAATTGCCGAGAGGCATGCTTCAGTCCATCGGATGACTTATCGGCGACTGGGTCACTGGTTTGGGCAGTGGAAGAGGGGTAGGTAAGGAGAAAATCCTCGGATAACGCATAATCCTGCAACTGGTTGAAATATGAGAAAACAGGAGTGTTCAATGAAGAGAAAGCTATGGGAGATGGGTGGAATATAAAGAAGAAGAAAGGGGAAGAGGGAGCGTTGCTCAATTGGAAGTTTCCGAGCCCGCCAGTCTCGTTCTCAAGGCTCTCTCGATAGCTACTTCCACTCTCAACCCGATGAGATATCTGGTTTCTCGCCAGAGATGGCTCGATCAAGTTTCGTCATAATCTTACAAAAGCTTTGATAACCACAAGACGAGAAGGTGTCCTTCGAGAGATGATGTGAAAGCTATGGCAGTATCAACTGTTTCAGTGCGTGGAGGTCGGTAGATGTAGGCTATATCGGGATTCATGTGTTAAATTACGGGATTGGGTGAATCATTCACACCGAAGTTTGTTGTTGAGTCTCATTTATCATTAAGTTACAAAGCCATTCAACTAATTCAGAAACCTGCGAGGTCATTAGCTAAAAGTCTATAATCAGCACCGATACTCTCCACTTACCCTTCTCTGTGTTGCCCTCGCCCATACTCTTGCTGCTGCTACTGCCGCTCTGGATTGCCCCAAGAATGCCGTCAAGATAGGGCGCACCACTCCATTTCTGGTGTGTAAGAACATCCACGCCCAGCTCCTTTTCCCGAGCTTGAACCATGCGCACGTAAGCGAGCATGCCGTCTTCCTTGAAAGCCCGGGAGAGTTCTGTCGTGATAGTTGCGTTGCTGTGCAATCCAGCGAGCGAGATGAGTTGGAGTACGAATCTAAGCAGGTAAGTCTTTCTGATTTTCAAAATAGAAGTGACTGACTGACCCATGTTGCGCCAAATCCCAAATGAACGACTTAAGAGACGCTTCGTCGAAACCATGTCCCATCCAATTGAAGGACGGACTCAGGTTGTATACCAGCTTCTTACCGGGGAACGCCTTGCGCACCTCTCCTGCCAATGACCCTGCTTTCGCAACGTCTGGGTCACCAGTCTCGACCCAGAGAAGATCCGCATACGGTGCGAACTCCCGTGCTCGCTTCGTAGCTGCGGGGAATCCAGCACGATAGTGATAATATCCTTCCCTGGTACGGGGGCTATCACAAGACCAGACAACCGGTTTCTTCGTGTAATCGCTGGCTAGGACTCTGCGGCGAGAAATTGAAAGATCAGGGCTCGCTTGAACGCGCTTCTTGTATGCGTCCCGGGCGGACCGAGGAGCCTTTTCTGCTTCGAGATGTGCTTCGACGGCTATATCACACCACGTGGTTAGTTCCAGACGTTGAGGGGGAAACTGGGATAATCAACAGACCTTCATCAAAGGTGACCAGCTTGTGTTTCTTGACCCACTCAGATTCATAGGCATCGATCTCCGAAGGGGCAGCGCCCTCCCTTTCCATGGCCTGCAAAGTCTCGGCGAGTGGCTCAACCTCCTCCGTCACTCCAAGAATGAATTCGTGGTCGCGCACATCGATAGCACTGCTGATGAGCCGTCCACTTTCGGAATCTGTGCGTGCAATAAGCAGGTTCTCGGTTCCCATCAGATCCCACTGGAAGCGAGCTGCGACCAATCTGTTGATATGCTCCCCAATGGGCACAAGTACCTTGCCAGCTAGGTGACCGCATTTCTTTCCCCCATGAAGCTGATCCTCGAAGTGCACTGCAGCGGCACCATTCTCCGCGAAAAGCTTGGCTAGCTTCAATACAGCGGAAAGCCCACCATGTCTGTATGGAACGTTAACAACGTGATCATGGCCGAATCCGTCCAAGTGAGCACAGCACATACCCCGTGTCGCCGTCAGCCACAATCGGACGCAGGTAATCAATGTACGGAGTCGAGTTCCGTTGCTCAGCGGTCAGCTTCCGTCTAGCGTCCCACTGTTTCCGATCGTGTAGCTGTTGCGCCTTGAACAATCGCTGGACTTGATTGGGTACTGTGTTGTATGGATAATCGCCGAAGTCAGGAGACACCTCGTTCGTCGTCGTTAGGAGTGACGAGCAAGCCCATCCCGAGATGTACAGGACCTCCTGGTGAGGTGCCTGCTGCGTCATCTGGACCGGGTCAATGGCGCCCACTTGGCAATAGTTAGCACACCAAGAAAAAGAATTGATAAAGGCCGAGGAACCACTGTAGATACATACTCGTGTGAACCGGCTTTCCTTGCGCTGCCTTTTCATTCAAGAGATGGAAAAGCTTCCGCGCCATCAACGAACTCGGGTATGTTTGTTGAAGGGAACCGCGTTTGCTGACGACATCCGCGGCGGAGTAAGGCCGCTTGATGCCCTCGAAGCGGGGAGATTGCCACCATTCTTCCACATCCCTTATTTGCTGTTCGTGGAGAGCATCCTCAGCTGCCCCGGTCTTGTCTGCTGTCGAGAGAAGTTGGTATGAATCCGCAGGTAACGTTGCTGAGACGGGTGGTTCCACGGGGGGGAGCGATGATGCCGACATCCGCGGATAACCGCATGTGAAGGAGCGCACAGCAAAGCGCGACAGACTGCTCTCAGCGACGGGTCGGAGAGGAATATATCGAGGGAGCCGACGAGGAAAAGAGCGAAGCATCATTCAAGGAATCGTGGTCGGATACCACAAGGTTTACCTTCTGTGGAGAAGGGAGGGATGTGTGTCTGGGGAGAGGGGGTCACTTTAAGGTGGCACTCGGTCCGAGCACCGTCGCAAGCCGGCCGATCAAACCAGCCTCGGTCTGGGGGCGGGCAATCCACACATCCCGCAATACCCGCTTATCCGGGGTGGCTGGTACTTACTAGCTTGAGGATAGTAACTTACACTATTACAGTATTGACTAGCTAGTTCACTACTGAAATTTGGGAAACAAGATGCAATACTAACTGAAATTGTATTTTTGTGGTTTCAGGTTTTTATCTTTCCGTGAAACTCGTTCAGGCTCATCTGAGTGGGAACACATACAGTAGGTCCAGCAGTGAAAAAAGAACAGAACATCTCGTTCGTGATAATGAAACAAGGTAATGAAGCCAGATCATGAAACAAGAGGTGATGCAGAGATCAACCGTGTGCTCGAAGCAACTTCCTCGTTATTATGCCTTGGCCCTACAGTTCAACAAGGCTTACTCGTGCCCCATCTCAATCATGAGGGAACGGAAGTTCTGATTCTGAATAACCTTGCAGAACTCCTTGTGTTTGTTGATGTTCCAGCTGCCCGCCCTACAACCCTAGTACAGAGTTAGCAGACTCATCTTTGACCATACTGATTCGATCTATCGAGGGAGGTCTCCTTACGCTGTTACAGTATCCGATGACACCGCAGCCATCGCAGGTCGTGATCTGGTCAGGCTCATTACGACACCAATGACACCTCTGATGGGCAGCAAAGCTCAGAGGCCAGGTTCTCATCTCATCACTGAGTTCCAGAAGCTCATCCAACGATGTTGGGATGATCTTGATTCGCATGGTTTAGTACCGGTTTACCAGGGAAGAGGCGTGATTGTCAGGGCTTAAAGATCCATACCTTGAGTTGGCGATATTCGTAGACACGGATGCCATAAACCTCAATTCCAAACTGGTGCTTGCGGGCGTGCATGATGGCGATGGTATTTCCAACCTTCAGGTGCGGACACTGACTTAGAGCACGACCTCGATCCGGTCCCTCGAATCGCAGGGTGACAAGATGTAGATCAGTGCTGCGGGTCCCGATGACGAGGAAGGGCGAGGTCTCGTAAGCGAGGATTTCGAGAAGGAGACAGCCATCTATTCCGGGAGTAAGTTCGTGGGTGTCGAGATCCTCGATGGGGATAGCGGCAAAGCCGGGGAAGCGATTGGTGTCTCTGAGATCAGGGTACGAGATAGTCATCTTGAAGGGTAGCGTTGATGATCAAGTTGTAGGAAGTTATGATATTCTGGGGAGCGAGAAGGATGGGTGTAGATAGAGTTGTGCTCACAGAGGAAGTACTCACTATGATGGGACGTGTTCGAAATGGGAAGGAACGATGAACGACTCAGCGAACGACTCAGCGCCGAGATGAAAACTCTTCATTAGGATACATTCACCAAGCTACAGCAGCCTAGTCCACATCTACAATACTTAGTCACTGGATGCTGGAAACCCTGAACACTTTTGGTAGCTTTGATCTCGATCTAGTAATACTTTGCACTTGCGAAGTGACGAATATGTCTTTTAGATGTTAGACTCTCTGTGTTGAGGAAATCTCTCACACTTTTGTTAGGCAGGTCACTGCTATTGTATAGAAGTTTTGAGCAGTTGTACAAAATTCTGTAGTTGAGACGAGACTATGCCAAAGTTATAGTTAAAAAGGCCAAGTCGCTAGCCAGCTATGAATACAATCACAAAGAACAACCACAAAGAGCACCTACATCAAGAATGATATTCATATAATCTACCTGAGATCATTCAGCTGGCTAGCCTGTACACTCTACTCTCAGTTAAACAAGCCTTAAGATGTTAACAACTTGGACCCGTAAAGATACAGGATGTCCTTTTATTATAGTTGAAAGCAGCTGGTCCGCTTATATAGAGCAGCTATCAATGCCGATGATACTGGAATATCACATGGAGATCAGTCCTGAAATCCTAAATTTAAGATTGTTGGAGTAAACACCCCAATCTATACCTGTCGAATAGACGGATCGGTAGACCCAGAATGATCGTGTCATGGCAAACGCGGGCACTATGTCTCTTGTCCTACAGAGCTTTGCAAAAGCAAGCTACAAGAATTAAAGAATTGGAATTAGCTTGCTAGGTTTTCGAGCACAAACACCTACGCCATACATCCGCTATGCTGTTGGCTGACTCGAGTATCTGGGAGCCTGAATGCAGCATGACGGCAGCCAACCGAGCTATGTCTTGCTCTGGTCATACATCAGATACATAGTTCTTATTCCAAGGCCAGTGCCTGTATTAAAATGTCATACATATGCTGGCCTTCTGATAAGCGGTGAAGCCCAGCTGCACGCTCGTTCGTCTTCCGATTTGCCAATATGTAGGTGGATATGCCGATACTTGGAATATCATATGAGACAGTAGCATCTCGAGTGTGCGTGCAGGATCGAGAATGCGTCCACTGATGCTATGCAGTTGACTTGCATGGTCTTACGTTGCGTCAAACCATTCAGTCGGTATCTGACTCTCTGACGTGTCAGGCCGAGATTCGTCTTTTGATTTAGGTATCCTTGCATTCTATTTCGGTCTACGATTTATTCATGCTACGATAATTTTCTGCACAAATCTTCTCGCAGTAGACACGAAACGCCTTTTATTGAACTCCAATGAAGAGATTTCAAGAACTGCCCAGAAGTAATGGGAGAGCAGTGAAGCACAGGTTTGTGCAACAGCGCTAGCCTCTTGAAGGTTTTTGGAGGAGCTATAGGATACCTAATATTGGCAGGTGGCACATGATACCAGGCTATGGAGTAATCTCACCGATGAACATGCTGGAGCATAAAAGCGGAAGGAGAACCTGGCATTTGGAATGAAAATTATAACCTTTGTTGGTCTTTCTCCAGACGAAGCTCAGGCAGAATCGAACCAAGGCGACATGTGTGGACTGACGGCGTTCTTAGGTCTGAATGGAGTCGTTCGCGATGAGAGCACTACTGTGTCATCCCACAGGCTGGCATGTCAGATCAACGACAGTCTAGACTTGGTCAAGCATAGAGGTCCTGATGCGCGTGGCCAGTGGATCAGCCCTGACACTCGAGTTGGTCGGTCAATCACTTCCTATGTCTGAAAGGAGGTTAACATCATTTCAAGGCTTTGGGCATGTACGCCTTTCAATCATTGATCTTAGCCCAGCCGGAAACCAGCCTTTCCACAGTAAAGATGACACTATCCAAGCCGTCGTCAATGGAGAACTTTATGACCACGAGCGAATTCGAAGTGAGCTGGCCAACGAATATGAGTTTGTTAGCAAGAGTGACTGTGAGATTGTCATTGCCCTATACCACCGTTATGGACTGTCATTCGTCTCTCACTTGAGAGGAGAATTCGCTTTGGTACTTTGGGATGCGAAACACAATCGTTTTATAGCTGCGCGAGACAGATATGGCATCAAGTCGCTCTACTATACCATTATCGGTGGAAGGCTTCACGTCGCAACTGAGATGAAATCTTTCTTGCCATTTGGATGGGTTCCAGAGTGGGACATTGCCAATCTTAAAGGGGTGGGATGGATGTATGGGGCGAATATGTACTTCAAGGGAGTGCATCGTGTAAGTTTTCGATTAGAGACGAGCTGGACCGAAGCTGATGGCTATTTCTAGATCGAACCTGGTCAAATGCTCGTGAGTGACAACTTCCAGCCATTCGAGTTGCAGACATACTGGGATTTAGAGTACCCCGACAAGGCGAGTAATATCCACTCCTAGCAGACTGTACGACGCTGATCGTAGATAGAGGCTGGTATATGCAGGCACCGAAGCTGAGGCAGTCGCTCGAGTGCGAGAATTGCTGCTTGATTCGGTGCGGCTCCGACTTCGCGCCGATGTGGGTGTTGGTGTGTTCCTGAGCGGCGGGCTGGACTCGTCTGCAGTTGCAGGCATGACAGCGCATTTGATGAAGCAAGGAACAAGACTTGGAAATGAAACAACTGGTGATACCTCGAGGCTAAGCTGCTTCACGGTGCAATTTGAGAAAGAGTCGGGGATCGATGAGTCCGGTTTGTTTTCTCCCGATCGAGACAGTTCTCCCCCTTATCTTCTCCAATCTGACAGTCCATAGAGATTGCTCGGCGGACTGCGGAGTGGCTTGGAGTGGATTTCCACGCAGTGTTGCTGGACGAAGAGACCATCGCGTCTCGACTGGAGGATACAATCTGGTACACGGAAACGCCGCTCCCTGATGTGGACGGGATGGGTCGACTGGCCGTTGCAGAGGCCGCTCACAACGCAGGAAAAAGAGTTGTTCTCACCGGCGAAGGATCAGACGAGCATTTTGCAGGATACAGTGACCTGATGTGGAGCTATTTGAGTGAGCCAGACCACGCATGGCCCGCATCTTTACTAGCCGTCAACGGCAGCCGAGAAGAGATGGAGGCAACCGTCAATCAAAGAATGGCACAAGCGGTAGCAAAGGTAACCGCCAAGTCAGGGACTACACATAGTCTCAGCCATACCTCTATATTTACAGCACTTGCTTGGTTCGGTCAAATACCCTTTCAGGCATGGACAGAGAAATACACCCAAGGTGACTCAGAATTGTCCTTTTGACGAAGCTTTCGTGAGAAGACTATCAACGACATGGAACAGAAATGGCACTCGCTAAATTCATCTCAATACCAGTGGACCAAGTCAATGCTGGCAAATGGTATTCTTCGTTATATTGGCGACAATATAGACATGGTATTTCAGGTGGAAACGCGGCCACCGTTTCTCGATCATCACCTCACAGAATATGTGAATACCATACCGCCAAGTCTAAAGATAAGATATGATCCAGAGAGAAAGATCTTTCGTGAAAAGCATGTTCTTCGCGAAGCCATGAGACCATTCATCACCGAAGAGGTTTCTAATCGCGTGAAGCAACCATATCTTGGTCCAACTAAATACAAGGAAAATGGACCTGTGTATCACACTTTGAAGCGGTTACTTACAGAGACCAATGTTCAGAACCTGGGCTTTGTTGACTGGAGCAAGGTCCAGCACACCTTCACACGCGCATTTTGTGACGATGACCCCAATGCTTTTAGAAGTATCCTCTTTGTGGCTCAACTTGTGGTACTGGCCCAAAGATTTGGAGTAAAGCCGGCAAGCGCGATTTAACATCCTGCTTCATTAGAGATTAGTGATAGGTGAAGCCAAATTGCAAGCATAAATTTCTCGGTAAGCCTGCTATGATGAAACCAACTGTTGCAGCTAGCTCAGATAGTATGTTCACTTGCTGGGTACAAGGTTTATAAGTTGGAGACCCCATGGACTGAAGCAACAGTAGCTTATGAGAAGCTCCCATCGACTCTAAAACAAATCCTTCATCAGCACTGAACCTGGCAAGTGATGGAGATCATGGGTGGTCTACTCAGACTAGAAGACTGAGCAGAGTCAGGGTCGCGCATGTCGCTACAAGGTGGTCACGTTGCTCCCTGAGCACGCTTGCTATTTCCCCCCCACACACTTCGCATCAACGTCGCGTGAGTCCAGATACTGAGGTCTGAGAATCAACTGGCGATGGCTCGCAAGAATTCCGGCAGCCTTCACGTTCCCTGCCATTCGATGGAAGGCTTTGGTCCTGTCGCCAGGGTGGGTATCGTATGTCCGAAACCCCACCTGGCAAGCAAGCGATGTCGGAGACTCAGATGGGGTCTGCTTGGCTATGCCCACTACTCTCATAGCTTCATGTAATGCCAACTACGGTACTTGAGTATCAAGGCTTTAGGTACTGACCTTCGATTATCTCTGTGCACTAAAGGTGGTTTCAGAGGACTCGGACTAGAATGTTTGCACCATCTTCCTGCCAGCTCTCTGATAGCGTGCGGAGAACTTATCGGACCCCTCGTTGATCGACTACCTTGCAATCCCCACTCCGCTCCCGTATGGGGGTCCAAGAACCAACCGAAGCTCGACGATAATGAGCGCGCGGCAGAGGCGACATCAAGCGATCGCCTCTCAATGACGGTCCCTCTTATGAAGTTGAAACATACGTCATGTGTCATCTTCCTTCGATACATATTCATGAACTCAGCCTTATGTTGAAGCATGGGTCCAGGATACACCAGTTCTGTTGCAAGTGCTCGCTCGATATCTCTCAGGTAACCAGCACTGCATACACTCCGTTCATCCGTTAACGATCTCAGTGGCATAGAAAGCTTGATGTCACACCTGATGTCACAGACCACTGCGAAGACTATAAACGACTAGGATGATCTAGGTCGCTAACAGTCGTTGCTTGGGCAGAAGTCTAAATTCTGCCACAAACAGTGCAACAAACACGAGGTTGGTAGCTATCTCGATGGTCCATGTCCATCCCAGGCCAGTGGGTCTTTCGGGCTGTCCAACATCGTCCAACATGCGATGACCCTGCAGTGGAGGTCTAGAATCAGAGCATGGCACTTGAACTCGTGGAGAATAAGTTGACGGTCTGGTCGACTGACCACATACCTTCTTGAACCGAACCATGTGTGATCAGTGACCCCCTCACATAAGGCTTTTCGCCGAGGATTGGGGGTCGGTGCTTTCGAAGACTACTGCTGGCTAGACTTTCTCTTTGTCCAACCTAAGCAAGTGTCCGACCGTCGAAGGGGAGTGAAATGCACAGTACATAGTAGCAAGGGAGAAAGGGTTGATATTGGTTCTTGTTTTGGGTGGACTGACTCCACTCCGCGGAAGCTGCGGTAGTTATGTTGCTTGTTGTATGCAGTGTCAGACTGCGAGAGACATCGGATCAAATGTTGTTGGATTCCCATAGAACAGTAGTCTAGTGAGTAATAAAAAGAGGTTGAGGTAATGCAATCGACTGCAACTGTACAGAAAGTACCGAGGCGGGATGGTCACGGGGATCTCCTCCCACCATTCCGGGTAGCCGTGACCAGTCGAACCTCGCCGATTTCTCGTTTCTCCAGCCCGCTCTTCGTGTGGCACCCCCTCAATTTCCTGCCGACGACTGTGGCCTCCTGCGCGCTGGCCTGCATCTCTCTGCAATGGGATTACTGGGGTAGCTATATTCCATTCCGTTGTTCTTTGAATTGCCCGCCTTGAAAGATTGGTGGATCCATGGTTAGGACGGACTAAGGTCGTTAGGGATGTTGAGTATGGGAATGGATTGTTGTTTGCCCCCACCCTCCACCCCCTCCCCCCTCCATCTCCATCTATCATCATCGAATAATGCAGGAAATGAACAATTTCCAGCTCCAATCGTTCTGGCTCCAATGCAAACCCGGCTTTTGTCTGAGCTCCTGCCTTAAACCGACGAATCCGCGTTGTACAACTCGCACCAGCTGTCTCCGCAATCTGCTGCTCTAGTGCGACTCTTATCACCCTCATGGCGCTTTCTCCTCACTGTCCGGGGCCTTGTCGGGGCACTGAGTTATCTATCATCCACCCACACCTTTCCTATCTCCGCGCTTACTCTGCCATCTGGCTCTTCTAAAGAGCCTTATCTCATTCACAGCCCGGATCGAGCAGATCGTGATTTCTTGCTCCTTCGCCCGCCTAGATTATACTCCGCGGCATTATCCCCCTGCCCGAATAAACAACCACACTTCTAGTCTTCTCTCTCCTCTCCATCGAATACTACTACGTTAAAACCTGGCGGAGTCCATGCCATCATCAGGTCTAATTTGGGCATGGAACACATTAAGATCCCTTCCCCGTCTGCGATCATAGACATTCAACCTTCGCCTCCGTCAACAGAAGGGTCTTCTCAGCCTCCTTCTTCCTTTCAGAGGCCCACCTCAAGCCAGCCTGGTGCCTCCAGGGATCCTAACAAACCGAAGCAGTCAAAAAGCCGTAACGGTACGGTACCATTCATTCCTAGTACCCTAATGAGACGACAGACGGGAACAGAGTTGCTCTCGGGTGAAACTACAGCATCAGAGAGAAGACGGCACGGACGTTCTCAGGGTGCGCAGTGCGCTGACGTTCTTATCATTTCTATAACCCAGGCTGTATCACCTGCAAGGCAAAACGATTGAAATGTGACGAATCCAAGCCGACGTGCCTTCAATGTAAGAAACGGAAGGTGGAGTGTGGAGGATACAAGAAAGATTTCAAATGGCGCCCCTTCGAAGAGACTAACATTGGCTGCAAGAACGTGTCGACGAAAAGCAAAAAAGGTATCTTTACTTGATATGGAACCGTTGGGTTTTGTACATTGCTGACATGAATGTCCCAAAGCCATCTCATCATCCCCGGGTCGGAAGTCTAGCCTTGACTTGTCTACGTCTCCGGACTCGCAGTCCACTGAGGGATGGTCGAGGACCCTGTCTAATTCTTTGCCCCTCTTCTCACCAGGGAGTGAAAGGTCTGCACTCGCGCTTGGCTTTTCGAAAGGAAATGAGCAGACTCCAGGGCGTGCAAAGGTGGATGCAGTACCAAGGCAACATCTCTTTGTCCCTACGGATGATCTCATAGGCCCGCTAGATATAGCAAGCCTTAATGAAGGCATCCTAACCCCATCGCTAATCGAGATTCCACCCTTGGAGCCATCCTCCTATATATCCGATGTGTCACTGTCTAATGCGGGGATGCAATCTAGACCGACCCTAGGTGGCGTTTCCCAACACGACAGCCCACCAAGGCACCACAGTTTTAGCTTTGAGGCCTTGATGGAGGTCGAAAACGATGACATTGAGGAGATTATAAGGAAGTCAGAACTTCCTCTGGGGTCGACTTTCTTAAACAGCACAGAGTGCATCAATTCTGGGCAGGCCAAGAATACAAATCTTACCCCGAAGATCCTCTCAGAGCCAAATTTTAGCATGGTCAGTCCCGAAATGCTGGTGTTGCAGTTCGACAGATTCACATGTGGGATCCTGTCTGTGAAGGACGGTGCCCACGAAAACCCATGGCGGACACTGATTTGGCCTCTAGCCAAGGAGACCCCAGCGCTATATCATGCCGTATTTTCTCTAGCGGCATTTCACTCCAGCAAGGAGATTCCCAGCCTCAGGGTTCATGGGATGGATCACATGCGGCAGAGCATCACCTACATGGTGCACGACATACAAAATATGAGAGCAGATGCAGCCTTGGCCACGAGTCTCGCGCTGGCATTTGCGGAGACGTGGGATCAGCATACGCGCACATGTATCCAGCACTTGCGGGGAGCTAAGGCGTTGGTGTCACAGGTTGTAGGATTTGGTCTTCAAAGCGGGATGTGCGGCAGTGACCTGGATAGAATTCGGTTTCTGTATAACACCTGGCTATACATGGATGTGATTTCTCGCCTGACATCCCGGGAAGAATCCGGGGATCAGGAGGTAGATACTTCTGTTTTCCAGTTGCCCAAGGATGCAGTGCACGAGATCGACCCTTTAATGGGTTGCGCGACAACCCTTTTCCCGTTGATCCACCAAGTCGCGCGCCTGATCCAGCGAGTTCGCAGAACCGAGTCCAACTCCCTCTCTATTGTCTCGCAGGCCATAGAATTGAAAACCCTGGTTGAGCAATGGGAGCCCCCCCGCTGCTTCGAACCCCCAGATGACCCCACATCGGAGGTACAGCATAGTATCCAAACCGCACACGCTTACCGCTGGGCGACATTGTTGTACCTTCACCAAGCGGTTCCTGAAATGCCCTCCGAGCCAGCATCGGAGCTGTCCAAGCGTGTCTTGATGCTGCTGGCCACAGTTCCCCCCAGCTCCCGTACCACCATCATCCAAATGTTTCCTCTTTTGGCGGCTGGGTGTGAAGCAGAGCAAGAGGAGGATCGCCAGTGGGTGCTCAATCGATGGCTAGCAATTCAATCACGTCTCATGCTTGGGTCTATTGATCGTTGCATCGAGATTGTCCGAGAGGTTTGGGCTCGCCGCGATGCCGCGGGGCTTGAGCAGTCCGACCAATTACCCACGGAAAGGCTTGAGATTGATAAGACAACAAATGTAGGCCGTGGGCCAGCTGAGCGTGGCTTCACCAGCAGCTTTGCTAAGCCTTGGAGAAGATCGAGTATGGCCGATCGGGTACCTCCTAAGGGCTCTTCGGGGAAGCCACGACGGACCTCGGCAATCTCTCCGCTGGAAAATATCGAATTCGAGAGGACTGTTCGTGGAAATTTGCATTGGGTCAATGTGATGCAGGAATGGGGTTGGGAAGGTAAGATATCTTCTTTGCATTTCTTCTGGTTTCCGTTTTTTTTTTTTTTGGGGTCATGCACCCCAAAAAAAGCCTCTCGTTCATAACCTTGCGACGGACATCGGCTCATATGTACAGTGTTTTTGGGGTAAAACTTCACTCGAAAAGCAATATTCATTATCAGCAGATTGAACACGGTGGATCCTCCACGGTTGATCTCCGCGGACCAGCACGACTGTTGTCTCTCCCTCCTTTCGAGCTTGCCTGCTCGCGTTGCACCGTCCGGTGCTCCGGAGGTCGAGGAGTCTCGGTCGCACTGTCTTCGGAATCCGCTTCGGCTTGGTGGGGAGGCCTGCTCTGGGTCAAGTACGACCGGAGGGAGGCTAGATATGGCTCTAGTTCGCTCGTCACGGCCACTGTCGCCATTGTTGCGCGGGGCTGTGAAGCGGCCTCTTTGGGATCTGCGGAATGTGCCGCGAGCACCACGCAGTGGGTTTGTGACTTCTTGAGGGTATAGCTCATCCTCAAAAGAAATTGTGGGCTGGGCTTACAGATCTGGACTGGGAGTGATTAGCATGGTGTTCCAGAGTTTTGGGCTTTTTTTTTGGTTTGGTTGAGCGAAGCAATCACATTCTATACGGCCTTGAAGGCAAATTCCCAAGGATTATTGCTGCAATGGGTTTCTTTTGTATTTGTTGCGATGGACTTTGGCACGGATCTTTTGGCGCGTAGGACAGGGCCAGATGCCTGAAAGGAGCTTGTCGCTGTACGGAGAACGGTGACAGGATCGCTAGGAGTATGAAGTATGTTGCTATCGACCCTCAAGTATCTCGATCGGCAGTTGGCGCAGTGGACAGTGAACGGCTGATCGAATACAACTGTCTACTTAAGATATACCGTACCGGTGGGGAGGGAGATTGCGGAGTCCTTAAGCTTGTGTCGCCTGGGTGCTCTCGCTGGATGATTGGTGACTGCACGGGGGAGGGCACAGAGGACGGTCACAATTCGCATAGGGCGGATTTGCTTGCGGGGATTGGTGCGAGATTCGACCGATGTAGTTGCTTGGGCTGTTTGGTATGTTGCCTTCGAGAGTGTCGTGAGTGCTGATAAATCGTCTCTCTCGCATCAGCTACAAAAGACTGAATAGAGGTCGAGGGGCGGGGAGGGCAGAGGTAGTAATTAATAGCGCCAGATCAAGCGGGTGAGAATAGAACACTATTTAATACAGTCTGAAGTGTGGGACCCGACGCCGCGATAACCTCGGACTTCTTCTCCCTGTGATTTTCGACGTATAGGGAATGGTAGTTTTAACCTGTTATGAGGGGGGAGAGACCAAGGGAAGATTTGACTTTTGATGGGCTGATTCGGGTGACGATGGTGCGAGAGTGTGTGAAAGAGAGAGAAGGGGGATGGTGTTGGATGACGGCAGAGGTGCATGAGAATTAGATGGTGCTTTAGGGAAAGGTCAACACCTTTGGGGATGTTGTGCTGTGCTGTGCTGTGGTGGTAGCAGGAGAAGAGGTGGGTAGGAAAATGGACCGGCTTGCGGAGCAGAATACAGTAGGCATAGCCGCAGGCAGGCCGGGTGAGGATGGAGGAAGAGAGAGTAAGAAAGGACCGAATGTCCTTCTAGTTAGGTGTTTGGTTACTTGCTTGGGCCTTCGCTTCCCTACACCTGCACAGAGTGCTTAGGACTAAGGTACGCTTTGCTGTATTGTCTTTCTGTATGGTAGAACTGGCATGCACGGGCCAAAAGGGTGGATAATGCTCTCTGAGTGTCCCTGTGCTGTGTCTACAGTGCACCCACCCCACTCACTCATCTGCTTTACCTTCACAGACGTACTGAGATCGCTTGACTTTACTCAACAATCCATCGCATTCAGACCTAATGCGGCCAAGATACGAAGGACAGTATAGTGAGAGCTGTTCGTGACCTTCCTTACCTGGCAGTAATCAGTGGGATACGGTATCCAAGCCAGAGTGAGGTGATTAGATAGAAGTACTGTAGATAGCGATTGGGGGAGTGGGGGGGGGGTGTTTATCGCCCATGCATGCCCTGCCCACTTCACCCAAGTCTCACTCACTCACCAAACCTCCACCTGACAAGCAGCGGAAGTACTAACCCGTCCAGGCAAAATTTTCCTGTCTTCGGTCCAGCTCTCTATCAATACCCACAAGCAAAGGTCCTGCCCCTCTCGCCTTTCACGTACACCACCACCGGTATCAACTTTCTTTCAGTCCTGCAACCCCAAGCTCCAGCGACCTGGCTAATATCTCCCATCCAGGTCAATAGAACAGCAGACCAGTCCACAAAAAAGAAAGCACTAACTCGCCTCGAAAGTTGTACAGTACTGTACCCCTCATCCAAGCAATGAGAGCCTCTCTCTACCCCTCATCTGAGAACGAGGAACCCATCATGAATCTCCTACTGTAGAAGGTGGATCCGTGCGCCATGGTGGTTGTCTCTCTCTTTTCCCTCAGAAGGGCAAAAGAACTGAGATTTTCCACTATCATTACACTTAGATCAGAATGATTGCGATGATAGTCGGGATGTCTCGAAGGGCATCAATCAATCTGGTGGTATATTTATTATAAAAGAGCAGCAGCATCCCCAGGGTACCATTGATTCAGATTCGAAGTCCTCAAATCTGAACAATACTTATTCCATCGATCCTCTGTTTACTTATCCTGCCTACGCACGTGTCCACATCCATACAGACAGACCAATCAATCTTGCAAAGATGCCCGTCGCGTTCAGATACCACCAGCAGGCGCAGTCGACGTTCAAGCCTCCTCTCATCGCGAATGAGAATGCCTTCCTGGGGGACGTGGATTCATCGTACGTTGTTTTTTTGTCTTTGTTTTTGCTGTGTTGTTGCTTTCCTTTTGTGAGATAAATAAATCAGGGTTTGCCTTTTGCCAGTGATGCAGGTGTGCGCACAGTCTCCATCTCATCTCCCTTGATGCAAGGGTGGTGGTGGTTGCTCGGTTGCTTTCTCTGGCTGGTTGCTAACCGGGTGAAACAACAACCTGCAGGGATGATTACAACCCGGAGAAACCCATGTCGGCCGGCTTTTATCGCCTGGAGAAGGGCACGCCACTGACTTACGAGTACTCCTACGATGAGATGAAGATTATCCTCGAGGGGGAGTACGAAATCTCCGACGAAACCGGGCAGAAGGTCACGGCCAAGCCCGGCGATGTCTTCCAGTTCCCCAAGGGTGCCAAGATCACCTTCACCACTCCCTCCTATGGGCTGGCTTTCTACGTAAGTGCCGAGTTTTCTCCTCTCGCTGCCCACACTCCTCATTGCCGACCAATCGATTTAAGAGAAAGAAATAAAAAGTCACTAACTGCAATGGGAATGGCAGACGGGTCAACGGGCCAAGGGCGTCTTGTAAAGAAGCTGGGATGAATGGAAGAAAGGAAGCGGGGAGAGGTTGTTGATGATGATGATGTCATTTCCGATGCCTTGGCCTTCCTTGCTGGATCAAAGGACGGGAGGGCTGAAGGATTTCAGCCTAGACCAAATGATGATAAGAGTGAAAACGAGAGCGGAAGAGAAGAGGTTGGGCTTTTGTGCCGTCGATAAATGGGTCACATCTCGATCCATGGTTCATCGGAGGGGATGGGCCCCATTTGCCCTCGCACCTTTCCAAGTTTGTTGACGGCCGTTGCCCAGAGATCAATCAACCCAGAAAAATAAAACAAGGCAAAGGAATGATGAGGATACGATCAGGCATCTGGGTTTAACTAGCTGGTATGGAAGTGCATAGTAGAAAGCAGAACAATGAACACATGCGAGACACTTGAAACATTTGGGACCTGACTGGGATTCATTCCTGTATTGTAGTCGTACGTAGCGATGATTGCCGGGGAGACCTCGGGCACAGTCGGTAATAGTCATCTGTACCCTTCGCAGGGGAAGGAAGAGGTGTGGGGAGTGGGATGGATAGACAGGCACCGATATTGTGGAGTGGAGATAGAGAGGGTGAGAGAGAAAACGGTATCGGTCGGGCTCATCTCATTCTCGGATGACAATGGATGAATACTCTACCTCATTCTCTCGACTCTCTCTCTCCCTCTTCCGTATGTTGCAATTCGTATCATTTCTATTGTTAACAATCATATTGTCAAGCACATTCACCTAGTAAGGGGAGCCTATCAGTCCCATTCTCCCATCCACTTTATCCTGTCACCATCCGATCGGACCCATGGATCGCGGTCGATCGGACTAGATATCAACTGACCCATTGAAATGCCAGCTGAAAATCGACAGGACTAGGATTATAGATCTGGTACCTGCTCGGGATTCCTCCTCAGCCTCACGATCACCCCCAATCAATTAGCCAGGAACAAGATTTAGATTGCTGTGCAATATCGCAATGCCAATGAAGATCGGAACAAGGGAGTTGTCCCGGCAACCGTCAGCTCCTCGAGGGGTACTGCAACCCATCGGAGGATTCTCGTTGGCTGACAGCCACGGGGGGTGGAGGGAAGGGCAGGTACTCGAATAAGAAAAGAGGTGGAAGAAGAAGCCGAAGGGGAGGGAGGAGGAAGTGGAGGAGGGGGAGAGGGAGAAAAGAGGCAAAAGACCAAGAGAATTGGATGAGTCCACAATAGTCCAGACAAGGCAGGTGGTGGACTGGACGGCGGTACTAAATGTGTGTGGCTGGCTCAGCCTGTCTATAGGCGGGGAACTGTTGCTATTGCTGCTATTGCTGCTATTGCTGCCACTGTTGCTCTTTACTTTTAAGAGCTCTGGTTGCTGGCTACTGCCACTTTTACCAAGGGGGAAAAAAAGAAGGTATCATCATCGGGGCGCCTTAAGCTACTCTACTCGACTTCTTCTACAACTTCAGCGCTCCTTCTCTTCTTCTTCTTCTTCTTCTTCTTCTTCTTCTTCTTCTTCTTCTTCTTCTCCTCTTCTTCACCCTCACTAGTTTTGCGCACAGTTTCGGCTCGCCCCAGTTGACTCAAACGCAAGGCCTACAATAAGAAGCTCTATTATCATTCCATCGAATTGACTGATCTTTTCTGCTCTCTCCCTTCGTACCCAACAAGGGCGATCCAGATTGACCGGTACTCGTGGCGCTGCGTTGCTGCTTCAACCTGGCTTTTTTTCTGGCTTTTCCCCTGTCTTCAGTTTCTGTCCCCTCTTCTAGCGCTTTTTTGGTCGTGACTTGACTTGCGCCTGTCTGCTCTTGTGTGGTTGGGAATTCTCCTAAATCCCCGGGCTTACTTTTTGTCACCAGCTGTCCCGGTCGGCGGAGTCACACATCGGGCACCCAAGGACCACGCGATTGCTGATTGCGCCCGTTTCGCCCGTCCCTGAGCTTCTGCTCTTGCGCCCATCATGGCTCTCAATATTGACACAAGTGACCGATCCGGTTTCCGCCTCCCACATCCGCCACCCCTCCTTCATACACGTGCCGGCAACGAACTGCTGGATCGTCCTTCGACGCCGGCTGAGACTGTCTTCACCAGCCCCGTTCAGACCCCTCAAGGAAGCCCCAGCAAGAATCGTCTGCCCCCCGGCGCGATCGATCTGCCCAATGTATTTGAGAAAGCTCTGAAACTGAATCCCACCTCGCCGACGAAGAACACAAATAACCACTATGACCATCCCATGTTCTCTCCGCCCCGGGCGGGGGAGGATTTCAACGAGAGCGTCATCCGACAACCGCCCGCCAGCCCTACGCGCCGATCCAATAAAGAAAACACGCCTCCGAACTCGACGCGTTTCGCTAAGGATCTGGGTCCGAACCCTGCAGCCGCCGCGATATCCAGAAATGAGCCATACCAAACCCGCGATTTGGAGAGCATCCAGCGGCGACAGGTCCCCATGCGGGGTTTGACGCCGGAAGAGCTAGAGAAGCTCCAGAACCCCCGGGTCAAGCGTCTTGTCAACGTCACCCAACTGTGTAGGTTTCCCCGTTGAATCTTGTGCATCCGAAGCGTTTCCACCCATCGTACTGACTACGTAGACTTCCTTGATCATTATTTCGATCTGCTGAGCTATGTCCACAATCGACAGAATCGCTACACGCAGTTTCGCGCCGCGTACCCGGAACCACCCCTGACGTCGATGGAGGAATACGAACCCGCACTCATGAAATACTTGGGTCGGGAGCGGGCCCACCTTCGCAAGCGCCGAACCAGACTTCGCCAGCATGATTTCCAAATATTGACACAGGTCGGACAGGGAGGATACGGGCAGGTTTACTTGGCACAGAAGAAGGACACGCGCGAAGTGTGCGCGTTGAAGGTGATGAGCAAGAAGTTACTCTTCAAGCTGGACGAAATCCGCCACATCCTCACGGAGCGTGATATCTTGACAGCGGCCAAGAGTGAGTGGCTGGTGAAGCTGCTCTACGCTTTTCAGGATGAGGATCAAATTTACTTGGCGATGGAATATGTCCCGGGCGGTGATTTCCGCACCTTGTTGAACAACACCGGAGTGCTGCACAACCGCCATGCTCGGTTCTACATCGCGGAAATGTTCAGCTGCATCGATGCGCTCCACGCACTGGGATATATTCACCGCGATTTAAAGCCCGAGAACTTTCTGATTGATTCGACCGGTCACGTGAAGTTGACCGACTTTGGCCTGGCAGCTGGAATGCTGAACCCAGGCAAGATCGAATCCATGCGCGTGAAGCTGGAGGAGGTGGGTAACACTCCGGTGCCGTTCGGACGTCCGATGGAACAGCGCACGGTGACAGAGCGTCGCCAAGGCTATCGGTCGCTTCGTGAGCGGCAAGTCAACTATGCGAAGTCTATTGTCGGATCACCAGATTACATGGCGCCCGAAGTGCTCAAGGGAGAGGAATATGACTTTACGGTGGATTACTGGAGCTTAGGATGCATGCTGTTCGAAGCATTGGCGGGTTACCCGCCGTTTGCGGGATCGACAGTGGACGAGACCTGGCAGAACCTGAAGAACTGGCAGAAGGTGCTGCGCAAGCCCGTCTATGAGGACCCCAACTACTTTCTGTCGCGCCGGACATGGGACCTGATTACCAAGCTGGTTGCTGCCAAGGACCAGCGGTTCAAGAACATCCAGGAGATCCATTCCCACGACTACTTCAGCGAAGTCGATTTCGGTCGCTTGCGCGAGCAGCGTGCGCCGTTTGTGCCCGAGCTGGATTCGGAGACGGACGCGGGATACTTCGACGACTTCACAAACGAGGCCGACATGGCCAAGTACAAGGAAGTTCATGACAAGCAACGGGCCCTGGAGGAGATGGCGGAACGCGACGAGAAGATGGGCAAGGGCCTGTTTGTAGGATTCACATTCCGGTGGGTTGATGTTGTCTCCTCAGTTGCCAAACGCCATTACTGATTGTGAACAGACACCGCAAGCCTGCCATGGACGGCATAGGACGCAGTTCCCCGCGCAAGCCGATCGCAACGGACGGCAGCTTCGGCACGATGTTCTAGTTTTATTTTGCATGGGTCCATTCTAGCACGAGCTGGGTCTCGGGTCGGAGTTCAATTGAGCGAGTATGACATGATATTTTAATGGCTATGGCATGGGGATGGCATGAACATGGTAGCACGGGTATGTGCCAGAGAATAGGAGGGGAGAAGTGTATGATACAGCGTATCGTAGAAATACATGCCTAACGGTCTGCAAGCATTTGGGAGTGGTAGTCGTCGCAGTACCGTCCTCCATTTTCCAAGGGGGGGGGGCATCAATTCTCGTTGATTTGCTGCACCATCTTCAAAATCTCCGACTCATTATCCCCAATAACCGCCTGCCCATTCGTCCAATCGACTGTCTATAAGAGAAGAAAAGGTTAGCACAACCCATACCGTCCAGTCCCAGTAACCCTCTCCCTGATCCCCCTCCCAAACCCCAAGGCATAAGGATGAAAGAACATACAATCGGCCTCACAAACACCCCCTCCGGATCCCCCTTGAACCGCCGAATCGCCTCCTCCGCATCCTTGGCCCCGCGCACCACCTCCCCGACGGCATACCGCATCCCCTTGTCCGGTGCCCCAGCCCCCGCGGGGTTGCCCGTCACGTAGTCCAGGATGTTGCGCAGCTGGTCCGTCGTCGGCGGCGCCGTCGTCACCTCCAGCTGGAACTCGCCGCGCCCGCCCGCCGGCGCATCGGGCGATTGGGCCAGCGTCGATGCGCGCTGCAGGATCTTGTAGGCGTTTTTGCTCGCGGGGTTGCTGGGCGTGTGGAAGAGGGTTATGGGGTCGAGGGTTTTTGGCCTTCTTTGTTGTTAGTTTCTTTTCTTTTTAGTTAGGATGGAGGAGGGGGAGATAGCTAGGGAACTTTGAGATGGGGGCTCAAGGGCTCGGGGACGTACGAAGCGAAAGACCATTTTGATTTTTGAGTGGTTATACTTGTAATTGTGCTTGTTGTTGGAGGGGATGAGGTTGGGTTTGGGTAATTGGGTTAGTGGGTGGGATTGGTGCTGGGTTTAGTGGTGGTGGTGGTGAAGGTAGTTGTGCAGTGCAGTTGAGTAGGTGCAGTTGGAGTCGGGGTCTGCATTGGGAAATGGCGGTGGTTAGTGACTACTCCAGCTGAGCGGAGGTACGGCGGGTGTTGCGGGTTGCTGATTACGTCATGGGGGACTGAGTCATCTTTACCACGATCGATGGCTGTGATTGATACTCATACAATTGATTGTTGCGTTTGCATTTGCATTTGCATTGTTTGGTTCTTATATTCTAGGCCTTGTTTATTTGCATTGAGAGTTCTGGTGGTAACCTCCGGGTATTGGCTCTGCGAATAGCTAGTGCTAGTAGAGAGCTGCACCTGTAGTCCCACTGGCCATTGTTTTTCTTCAGAGTACTTGCGGGAAGCCAAATATCCTGCGCTTCAACATATCAACAAACAATCATGGTATCTATCATTATCGTATATACATCATTTACCACCAAAAATGCTCTACCACCCAAATTGCTCTATATGCAAATATATCCCCTGGGCGCCAGTCCCCTTGTGCACGGCTCGCTCGTCGCTCAGCGACACCACGCTGCGCCGCGTATCGTCCGACAGCCCCTGCGGCCCACAGACCACCACGGCGCTCTCCCCCTCCGCCCGCTCGAGGACCTTGCGGATAATAGTCCGGACCTGAGGCCGACCAGACAGAATCGTGAGGGGGCGGGTGGTGGGTGCCGGTTTCGTATCCGGGGATCCTGGCGGGCCCGCGGCTTTCTCGGACCCTGACGGTGCAGCAGCTGTCGCGGCGTGTCCCGAGCAGGTACACTTGCTTGTGATCATATCTTCATCCTCGATGGCTGCCGTGCAGCAGCAGCCTCCGCCGGGTAGACAGCCGGTGTCATTGGTAGAGAGAGCATCCTTTTCCACGATCTTCTCGGTGTATTTCTCGTCGGTCGTTTCCATGGATGAGCGGGACTGGGCCACGGCGGTGGAAGGCGTCTGTGCGCAGAGGGTGGCTTGCGTCGGCTGCTCCAGCTTCTCGTCGCAGGTGATGTAGATGCTCAACTCGATCTCGCGGATGAGGTCGGCGTTGGCACGTTGGCACTCTTCCGCGTCGGCCAGGACGGACTGCAGCTGGCTCTCAAACCAGCTGAGCTGGGTGCGTGATTTGATCACCAACACGAATCGGATTCGCTTGGTGGCCGCGAGGTGCCTGGGCGAAGCGTCACGTTGAGCGCAGTCTTTCTTCCATTTGGCCACAATGTCTCGCAAGCACGGGATGGTATAGGTCACGCCCATCCCGCCCGCTAGGAGGATGACACTGTCGAACTGCTGCAGCGGCCTCATCTGACCATACGGCCCTTCAAGGAAGACCGTTCGCGTCTGTTTAGTGGATGCGGTCTCTCCGGTCCCAAGCACATGGTGGCGCTTCGACGCGTAGCGGAAGAACCGACGGGTTCCCCCTTTCTCGGCGCGGACGAAGACTTCGAGCTTGTTATCTTCAGTGATAGATGCGATGGTGAAAGGGTGGCTTTGGAGCGGAGCGATCGAATGGCATGTGAGAAAGACATGTTGGCCTGGCTTCCAGCTAACCCCGGGATTCTCAATCGTGACGCGCGTGACGTTGCCCGGTAGAGGCGTGAAAGTCGCTCTGTTGGCCCAGAGGGCATGGCTTGGAGATTTCGAGCGATGGAAGATCGACAGATTGATATATGTGGCCCAGATATAGCGCGCCACGCGATCGAAGACGAGGAACCCTATCGGAATCCAGACCCAGACCTTGACCTCCGCCGGTGCATGCAGCCAGACGGCCGCGATGAAACCAACAAACGTGACCAGATGTTGCAGGACAAAGAACTCATATCCAAACCTCCGGATCGGGGCGGCGGAGGTGATCACAATCCAGGTCAAAATGACCCACGCGGCTAGTCCTCGAGCAATCAATGGGTAGTTCTTGATTTCGTAGGAGATATAGTTGTAGCGACCCCAGTCGCGGAACCAGAAGGCCATGTGGATCGTGGCCGTCAGCCAGAGCGTTCGGGCCACCCAGCGATGATACCAATTCAGCCGTTCGTAGCTCATGCCTACCAGGGCACCGATGAGATTCTGCCTCCCGGCTAGCAGGAAGATCAGGGGCAACTGCGCGATGGCAACGAATCCGGTCCGGTAGCCCACATCCTCCCAGCTCCATTGATCCGTGGTATCCAGCTTGTAGAAGCAGAAGACAAGTACGACAACCAGATTAGCCAAAACAACAGCCACTGGCCCCAATGGCGCGAAGTGGAAGGTATGGCTGCGGATCGATACGGGAGGCAGCGTCGCATAACTTGCCTCGCGGACAATTGCCGTGAGAGTGGCATATGTGTTGAAGAATAGTGACTTGGGCTTGGACGGAGTGAGGGAGGTATCCCGAAGTCTGCATAGGTGAGCACCGCAATATTCGGCCTGCATAAAGAATGAATGTACTCACCTTTGGTAGGCGAGGTAGCGGTTGAGCAGATTCACCACGGTACCTGCGGCGATCGCACTGCCTATGACCACCCAGTACATTTTCTGGAGATAGAAGAAACCGGGCACGCCAGCCCCCATGGACATGTGGCCCATGCCCGACATTGACATGTCCATGTCCATCTTGGCGGTGATTGGCGAGAGTCGAATATAGATAGATGGACAATAAGCGACACTATCCCCGGGAGGAGATGGTGAAAGACTATCGATATTCGGAGGGGGAGGGCTGGAATATCAACGCATCTCGTTTAGAAGCAGCAACACATCACACACAACCTGTCTGTTACTGAGAGGAGGGGGGAGATTGTCGGCTATTCAAGATTTCATGTCGCAGTGGTGTGCAGCGTCATGAGTACATGTAAGAGTAAGTGGGTAAGTTGAGTGATGAGTTGGAAATTGGAATAAAATCATGGGTGGGGGGACATGCATGGTAGACAAGGCTGGATGGGACCATTCCACAAGAGTAGAAACAGCCATGCCATGCCATCCATCCCCACCTGTCTTGAGCCATGATAACCAGGAATTGATAATAATCTTCTCACTCTGTAAACGGAATTGAAGTAGTCATAATCTGCTCACCTCCACCGCCCGCTTGTCCGCTGCTTTCAGCCTAGCGGGCGATTCCGCGCCCTGTGATTGGCTCTCTGGACCTGAAATGTGCTCAAGCGCCAAACCGAGTCGGGCTAAAATGTGCTCAATCTCGGAATGAACGCCTTCGCTTCAATTTAGGTAGAACATGATTATCGTCCCGGCTGGTTTTAAGGATCCAGAATTGACTGCCAGGTGGTGGCCCGCCATGGCTAAGATATCGTCGCGGGTCGGCCCTCCTCTTGCTCCTCCTTCTTTTCCTCTTTCCTGGTCCTCTTCCTTTCAACATCCTCTGCTGTCCTGATTCCCTGATGCTCTCCCGTCCTACAAAAACCACCTTCATCCCGAAATCAACCTGATCGCCTTATATGCGAGACCACCACCACCACTACCACCACCACCACCACCCCCCCTCTATCAGCCCGCCAAAGCCAAATCAACCTACCCCTCCGACCCCGCGCTTATCATGGACATGAGCAGCATGGATTCCAGCTCTTCGTCCTCATCCATGTCCATGGCAATGGTCTTCACCAACAGCCACTCCACCCCGCTCTTCTCGTCGCAATGGACGCCGACCTCCAGCGGCAGCTACGCGGGCACGTGCATCTTCCTGATCGTGCTGGCCATCATCGGCCGACTGCTGGTGGCCTTCAAAGCGCTGATGGAGCAGCGGTGGCTCAGCGCGCACCTGCAGCGGCGGTACATCGTCGTAGCGGGCAAATCCACCGAGGCGGGCCGCATCGACGCCGACCCGGACGCTAAGGGGGCTACGCTCATCACCGCCCAGGGCGTCGAGGAGAGCGTTCGCGTCGTGCGCCGCACCGCCCGCGAGCCCCTCCCCTGGCGCTTCAGCGTGGATCTGCCCCGCGCCTTGATCTTCCTCGTCATCACGGGCGTGTCGTATCTACTGTACGTATCCATTTCCTCGTAGTGCTTTCATCATCGAGGAAAGTCACTTAAGCTAATGGTTTGTGGTTGCAGCATGTTGGCCGTCATGACCATGAACGTGGGCTACTTCTGCTCCGTCTTGGCCGGCGCGTTCCTCGGGGAACTCGCGGTGGGTCGGTATACTCAGTGGAATGAGCACGATCACTGAAATGCTTTTCCTCGCTGTGTTCTTTTTGTGTTGGGTGGGCGTTGGGTTTTGCATGCATTGCGGCTTAGCATGGGGGTTTGTTTTATTTTGAGATACCTTTTTCGACACGAACCGTTTACGATATACTTAGTTGATGATGGGCTCGTCTTGAGGCATAGCTGGTGTTTTCTATGTCTCGTGGGGTGAATGGGCGGTATGTTGGGTGGATTGTATATAGACATAGATGCCGAATATTCATATATATGATCATTAACCGCAGCGATCAGTAAGCCTCCATGTAGAACGTTACGGTCTGCAAGAATATAGCCCTACATGCTCAGCCGGCGAGTGTAGCTCGCGTTGGCCGGCGACAGCCGCAATGGCATGATCAACAGTCGATCGGCCGGGTCCCATTGGCGCGGAAATAGGCGTCCTGCCAAGATTCAACGTTTGTTGCTCCATTGCGATTTAGGGAAGTCCATGCGAAGCTCACAAGAAGACAAGAGAGCGAAGATCAAATACACTGAAGAGTCAGATGAAACGCTCTACGAGATAATTGTTCATAATTCGAAAGCACATGCAAATTTAACCCCTAACACAAGTTAAAAACAAAACCCCTCACACATCAAACGCACTCGTCGGCCGAACCTCCAACCCCACTCGCCGGTACGTCTTATCGACCGCCTCCATCTGCCTGATACTCTCCCCGCCATCAACCCACACCCCGGATCCCTTCCTCCCTTTAATTCGATTCACAAACTCCTCCAACTGACACCGCCACGTCGTCCACCACTCCTGATACGTCTCCGCCCGCTGATCTCCCGCGGGCCAATTATACGCCGTGAGGTACTGCACCTCCTCCCAGGTTTTGGACAGCTTCTCCTTGCGGTAGAGGGTATGGGTATCGCGCACGTCGATGCGGTGGTACACCGTCGGCAGGATCATGTTCCAGATCGTGACGGTCCGCTGCACGAAGTGCTGCGTCTCCGTGCCGCCCTGCGAGGCCACCAGGATCTCGGCGAGGGTGGCATCGGTCTTGGGCCATGCGAACCAAGGCATGACTCGGGACCAGGTGGTTGGTAGCAGGGAGAGGATCCCGCTGCCGTTCTGCGTTGCGGCCGCTGCTGCTGCTGTGTATGCCAGATCGCCTGCGATGTGGGCTGTTTGGAGGCCATCGGCGGTCTGGTATGTGGCGGAGATGGCGGTATCGATCTGCTGCGCCTCGTGAAACGGAGAGGAGTCATAATTGCTGAGCGGGCGTGGTGGGGTGTACTGGCTTTCCACGACTACAAGGTCCTCCTCTCGCTCCGTCGAGAGGTTCAGAACCTGGCGCACGCAGGAGAGCGGGTACGTCGCCAGATCCATCAGGCATCCGCCGGACAGGGCGTACTGGAAGCGGATGTCATCTCGCGCGATGTAGCCCTTGGGCAGGTAGAACTGCGAGGATGTGTCGACCACGGTGCCAGGGCCCCAGGGGGTTTGGCGGGTCAGGGAGAGGAAGGTCTGCCAGGCCGGGTGGAATTGGTGGTGGAAGGCTTCGAGGAGGACGGGGCCATTTGGGGCGGTTGCGAGCGGGTGGGTGAAGAGCTTGCGGGCTTCGGTGGCGTTGGAGCACGAGGGTTTCTCCAGGAGGACGTGCTTGCCTGCTTGCAGGGAGCGGAGGGCCCATTCGTAGTGGTGCGAGTTGGGGAGCGCGATATAAACGGCGTCGATGGTGGGGTCGTCGAGGAGCTCTGCTCTGGTGTTAGATTTGTTCTGTCCTCGTAATGCCAATTTCCCAGATAGGCCAGGTGATGGGTCGTGCTTGACCTTGGTATGAGCTATGCACGATGGGGATGTCGTGTCTCTTAGCATACTGCTGAGCGCGGTCTGAGTCGCGGGCAGCAACCGCTGCGATGATGACCTCGGAATGGGACTTGGCCGGTACTATTACTGAGTTCGGGCTAGAAGGATATCAGTCGAGATAGAAACGCAAGTACTGCATACTGGTGCTTCAGGGATTGGCTTACGCTATGTTGGAAGCTCCGAGTAGACCGATGCGAATGGCGCCATCCTTCTTCGCGGGAGTGGGTGGATTTAGAATATAGTAGATCCGTTGGAACAGGCTCATTGATGCCATGGTCAGTGGATTATTATTAGTCTTCTCCTTGGGCTGATGTTTCGATGTGAACTGGAGATGTGTGTCATCTTTGGTGGTGAGTGCCCCGAGTGACTTGGCTAATGGTTACTCCGCACGAGAATCTTTGGTTCTACCTCGTACACCAGCGACGGAAGAGGAAGTTCGGTACATTATTTAGGAAGGTTCCCATACGATGATACGGGCAAGCTAATTGACTTCCTGCAAGCTGATATTCACCTCTTCTACCTCTCTACCCTTGAATTAATGAAACTCACCCAATCTCGTTTTGGTCAATAACTGATTGATAGCTCTATCTGATAAGAGCGTGTGCCTCAAGCGAAGAGAGGCTCGGGAACTGCCTCGGATTTGCCCGCGCCCTGAGAAGAAATGAGCACATTTCTTAACTCAATTCGGCTTAGCGTCACCCGGGGCCCGTTCCAGCCTTGACTGGGAGCTAGCTGGAGAAATGCCAATTCCACCCTGCAGGAGAACCGATGAACAACCCGAAACTGAAATGAAGATGGTGGATGATTGCGGGTAAACGAACCCTTTGGAACTAAACTCAGGGCCCAATTGATGCAGCCATGGGTCCCTTCCATCTTGTAGACTAAGTAGTTTCGGTCTTGGTCATTAATCAATGTGGCGGAACCGAACTGACAGAGCTCTCCCCATTCCTCCGCCGAACCCGCCGTCCAAATCCACTCACTGCTGACGCTCCCACCTGCGCCATTCTTATATAAAGTTTTCCCACTCTCCTCCATCCTTCTGTAGCAAGATCTGTGCCTCTGTACCTCTCTTACTCCTCATTCACCGACACCAAGGATCACCATGAAGTTCTCCATCCTCCCGCTGGCGGCTCTCGCCCCCCTGGCTGCTGCCCACTTCGAGCTCAAGTACCCCACGAGCCGCGATGGCACCGAAGACAACATGGTCAACTTCCCCTGCGGCAGTGCGGCCCAGTCCACCAACCGCACTCAGGTCTCCATCTCCGCCGGCTCCTTCCCCGTCGCGCTGTCCATGGGCCACTCGCAGACCGCGGTCGAGGTGCTCCTCGCCCTGGGCAGCGACCCCGGCACCAACTTCAACATCACCCTGCACAAGACCTTCGAGATCGAGGGCCTGGGTGCCTTCTGCCTGCCCCACATCACCTTCGATGAGTCCATCCTCGGCGCCAACATTACCGATGGCATGAACGCCACCGTCCAGGTGCAGAGCAACGGCGATCCTTCTGGAGGTCTTTATGCTGTATGTCCATCCTGACTCTGGGAATCATGATAGATTTGCTAACAAGTTGGGCGAAATTAGTGCGCCGACATCCAGTTCTCCTCGACCGTGAGCTACGACGAGCCTTCGACCTGCAAGAACAACACCGGCGTCAAGGCTGTTGAGTTCACCGGCGCCGCCGCGGACCGTAACGCTAACGAGTCGACCGCCACCGGCGGTGCCCAGGACGGCTCCTCGTCCAGCAGCAGCAGCAGCTCTTCCTCCTCTGCGAGCGGCTCCAGCAGCACTGCTACCTCCACTGGTGCTGCGGTTCCCCTGCAGACCGCTGCCTGGGGAATGCTCGGTGCCGCTGTTGTTGGTGGTCTTGCTGTTCTGTAAACAAGACAAAGACTTCCGTGCCACATCGGAACTCATAACTTAAATCGCAAAAGATACTGCTCTGCGCAGATGGTTTGGATGGAGAGAGAGAGAGAGAGAGAGAGAGAGAGAGAGAGAGACAAAAAGAGACCGAGATGATAACAAAAAAGCCAACGAATGACATTTTCGAAGGAATGATCATGATTTGACGATAATTTCCCACACAACGCTTGTTTATATCGTGGTTGTATCTACCCTGTACATATTCATTTTAGTTGTCTATGATTTTCGATACTACCTTAATATGAAAGACATGGACATGTGACCAGACTGAAGGAGACACTTCGTCTCTTGCTACTTTACTTGCTTTGAAGTTCTCGTATGTGCCTCAGTATTGGATGCATGTAATCTGGAGTAACAATTTGCTTTTAGTACAGTAAACAGATACACTGGATAACCTAACTTATTGGAGTAAACTCCCATACGCTTAGGAACCCGCGATTGTAAGGCAAAACAATACAGAATCCCAAACAACGTTAATTGCGTATTCGACCGGCTCCCCAACCCAAAAGCCAGTTTACCTGCAGGTTGTTCAAATTTTCCTTGGCCGGACCCTTCCGTTCGGATACACATACCTTTAGAGGTGATTCGTGACTTACCCACCCCGGCAATCATGCAGTGCTTACAGAATAAACGACCCCCTCGTTGATCGATCAAACAGACCCGCGCAGATATATCTAGTACCGTCACATCCCAACACACCGTCAGAAACGATTTCAACTTGATGCTCAGCCACTTAGTATCGTACCATGCACCAATTCCTATATTTGTAGGCAGCAGCAAACCTCTGTCCGTCGCAAAGTCGCAAAGTTTTCCTAATACGGCATCGACCGCGGAGTTTCGAGCCTAGCCAATATAAAAGCCGTTGGCCCGTTTGTCTGGGACCTTATCTTATCGCCCCCAGCCGGTTTGTTCGTTCCTCGTCAAAACAATCTCGACTTTTACCAGACTTTCTCCCTATTGTTCTTCGACTGTCACGTGAATCTGGGGTATCTTCTCTCCTTTTCGATTAGTGGTTGTTGAGGTCAATTCCTTTGCAAACATGGAGAATTACGAGAAATTACGTTCAGCAGGTGAGTTTATCTGGGGTCCACGATTCGGGACCACCTTTATTGATTTACACGCCCTCCAGGATATTTGGAGAAGTACTCTATAGCCCGCCATCCGCTCGGGTTCTACTACAATGTCGGCGTCACCGCCACATACACGCTACCGGAGTCCTACACGCGTCCGCTGCGGGACTATGTGTACAAGGCCTGCGAGATTCTGATCGGCCAGCACCCCGTCCTCTCGGCGGTTCCCGCGAACGAGGAGTCCGACGAAGCATACTTCGTCCGCCTGCCGGAGATCGACCTCGCGCAGCCGGTGAGCTTCCACAAGCGTCTGCGGGGATTTCCCGAAGGGGACGCCACCGACACGGAGCTGGACGAATTCCTTCAGACGCAGCACAGTACCGGGTTCACGACGTCGGGGGCACCATACTGGCGCTTGGCGATCTTCACGGCCGACGGCGAGGACGATGACGATGCACCGGCGCGGCGACGGTTCACGGCCGCGTATATCTTCCACCACGCCCTGGGCGACGGCACGTCCGGGAAGATCTTCCAGGAGACGTTCCTCGAGGCGTTGACCGCAGCCGGGTCGGCACTGAGCAGCGCGGCGCCCGGCGAGGAAGCGAAGCAGGTCGTGGCCACGCCGGCGGGCACGCCGCTCCCGCCGAACCTGGAGGCCGCGCATCCCTGCGGCATCTCGATCCCGTTCCTGCTGGGCGCGGTAGTCAAGATGAAGTTCGGCGCGCGGGACCGCGGGCTCTGGACGGGCGCGCCGGTCTTCACGCCGCTCGAGGCGCGGGCGCGCCACCTTGTCATCCCCGCCGCGGTGTCGGCGGCCTTCCGCCAAAGCTGTCGCCGCAACGGCGCTACCGTCACGGTCGCCGTGCAGGCGGCCATGGCCCAGGCGCTGTTCGCCCACCTGCCGCCGCAGTGCACCAAGCTGCGGCTCACCGGCGCCATCTCCGTCCGCAAGTGGCTCACCCAGCCGATCCCGGAGAAGTCGCTGGGCGTCTGGGTGATGGACTTCGGGGAGAGCTACTGGCGCAAGAGCCTGCCCGTCACCGACGCAGGGGCCTTCCCCTGGAAGGAGGCGCAGCGCTCGCGGGAGACGATCGAGCGCGTGCTCGCGATGAAGGGGAAGAACACCGGCGTGAATCTCCTCAAGTACGTGTCCGGTTTTTCGGAATTTTTCCGATCGAAGCTCGGGAAGCCTCGTGGGGAGAGTATCGAGCTTTCGAATATCGGGGTCCTGAGTGCGTCGGATGAGGCCCAGTCAGACCCTTCGAAGCCCCAGATGGGTCGGGTGATCTTCTCGCAGAGCCCCAACGCTGCGGGCGCCGCGATTGTGGTGTCGGCGATTTCGGGTGGTGATGGCTGTTTGGTCCTGTCGTTTACATGGCAGAAGGGTGTTGTGGAACCGGAGTTGGTTTCGGGCATGATTGACTCGGTGGAGAGATTGGTTCATCTTGCGGCACAATAATTTGGGGGTCAGGGGGGATTTCTTTTGCTGTTATTCATCACCATATATTGCGATCTGCGGCTGCGAAGGGCCTGCGCATAGTATCTAAAACCCGAGTACCGTTAATTCTAATGTTAGCTATCTTGATCCGCAATACCGAGTATTTAGCGAGTGGATTCAGGCACCAGGGGCCTCGATCCTTTGGATCCTTGGGGTGGGACAGCCGAGGCGGTGAGTCGGCGAGTCTGGCGGCAGAATTGCGGGGGAATGGGACAAAATCCAGGGCCCATCTTTCTGCAATTATAGACTACATCGTGACTACCTGTGTTTCTCTCGTTGACGAAAGACTAGAATAGACCAAGATGTCTTCCCGCGCTCCTTTCGTTGTTCCCGCGCTCACCAAGCACACCGCCACGGTGATTATGGCCCATGGCTTGGGTGACAGGTAAAGTGTTTCCCGTCCCTATACAGAAGATCCCGTTCTTGGACTAACATCTGGTGAATGGATTTAGTGGTGCCGGATGGTATGTCCCCCTTGGTTTCCATTCACGGCTGCATACCTACGAACTCAGATTAGCGCGACGGATTACAGTACAATGGATGGAGTTCGGCTGAACATGGCAATCTTGACAGGATGGCACTCGCCCAGAACTGGCGCCGCCGTGGCGTTTTCGACGAGGTCGCCTTCATCTTCCCCAACGCGCCGATGATCCCCATCACCGTGGTACGAGCATACGCGATACCTTCTGACTCAGTAACGCAATGGACTAATTCGAGCCCACATTTGTCATTGATTAGAATTTCGGAATGACGATGCCCGGTTGGTACGACATCACCAAGCTCGGCCGTGATGTGAGTTGCCCCTCGCCGCGAGAGATGTACCGTACAGGGTGTGGGGACGATGCCACTAAACAACCGTTCATAGTTGGACTTCGAAGAAGCCATCCGCAACCAGGACGAACCGGGCATCCTCCGCTCGCGCGAGTACTTCAACAGTCTGATCAAGGAGCAGATGGACAAGGGGATCAGCGCGTCGCGGATCGTGCTGGGCGGGTTCTCGCAGGGGGGCGCGATGTCGCTGTTCGCGGGGCTGACCAACAAAGAAAAGCTGGGCGGCGTGTTCGGACTGTCCTGCTACCTGCTCCTCAGCGACCGGATCAAGAACTACATCCCGGAGGGTTTCCCGAACCAGGGCACCCCGTTCTTCCTCGCGCACGGCCAGGAGGACGAGGTGGTGCGCTTCGACTTCGGCAAGCAGTCCAGCGAGAAGCTCAAGGCGCTCGACCTGGAGAAGGTCGAGTTCCACTCTTACCCGTACGTGCTGTATTCCCCGTTTGAGGCTTCGCGTCGTTCTCGCCGTAGCGATCTTCCGGCTCACACTCGCGGTTTTCCTAGTTATTTGGGCCACTCCGCCGATCCCGAGGAGATTGAGGATCTCGAGAAGTTCCTGCATAGTGTTATCCCCCCGGAGGGCGAGGGCCAGACCGATGGTGCTGCTGCTGGCTTATGAATCTATGATCAACATGATCAATATCATCGTCATGATACCTCTGTACAGACTCGGGGCCATTGGAGGGTAGGGTCTCCAATGGTCAGTTTTAGCCTCGCTTTAGCCATTGTTGTTCTGTTGCTTGCGGTTCTGCTCTCGCGATTCGGTGGTTCCAAGGGCAAGGGCAACCCGCGGGATCCTGTTGTCAGGAAACAGGACTGAAATACGTTTCGCCTTCGCCTTCGCCTTCGCCCAGACACACAAAACTAATCAATCTGCATGAAATCAAAAGGGTACTTGCTGTGCCTCAGTAGTAGTGATCATATATACTCGCTTCTCTCCCCCCTCCCCCAACCGCAAATAGAAAAAGGCTATCTAATTCCCCCCCACCAAAACCCTCCGAATCGACCCCTCCACCGCTGCGATCATTGCCTCTGTGTTCTTCACATCAAAGGGCACCAAATGCCGCGAGCCATGGTCGTAGAACTCCGCCTGCGCCGGGTCGCACAACCCATACAGCCGCATGCTGTGCGGGTACAGCGGGTCCTGTTTGCCCACGATATGCGTCGTGGGGATCGTGATGGGGTACTTTTTAGTGGTAGGTTCGATCAGCTCCATTCCCGCTGCGTCGAAGGGGGAGGCGCCGCAGATGAACACGGCCAGCTTGAACAGCGGTGCCGCGGACGGGTGCTGCTCCGCGTGCTGGAGGATCATCGCGCTGGCCAGGGCGCAGCCCTGCGAGAAGCCCATGACGCCGTCGAAGGGGCCCTCCGTCGCGACGATCTGCTGCACGTACTCGATCGCGAGGCGCAGGTTGTCGCCCGGCTGCGTGTCGCGCGGGTAGTGGCTGTAAAAGGGGCCGTCGAAGACGTCTTTGATTTCTACCCGTTGAGGTTAGGAGGTTAGGTAGGCTTGAGGGGGTTTTGGGGGGGGGGGGTCGGTTTGCGAGAGATCGAGCTGGATGAGGGGTTAGCTGACTTACCGGGTTCACCCTCGGTTTGCACTCGTCCATTGATGAAGGTGAATGTGTGGCCTTTCTTCTCGAGGGCGTAGGTTATCCCGCCTGGTGATATATAGAGGATTAGTATCGCTTGGTGGTGGTGATGACTCGGGTCGACTCCCATCGGGGGCGCGGCATACCAGCCTGGATCTCGAAGATCTAGATGCCCGCGAGTCAACTTGTTGTGCCCCGCCAAACACAATCGGAGGGGGGGCTTGAATATAGATCAAGACTGCATGGACAGACGTACTTCTCCGCTGGTCCCAGCACCGTGTAGACAGAGGAATCGCATTGTGGATTTTAAACTTTGGTTATTGTTTGGTTATTGGAGTGCTTGGAAACTTGGGTCGAAGTGGGAGGAGTAGGAGATTCCAGAGCAAGTAAAGTAGCTTATCAATAAAGGTACCGATCAATCAAACACAGCCCACCCACCCGAGCCTGATGGAGTGGCATGTCGGGTTGACTCCGACAACGGCTCCAGCGTCAGCAGTGCCCCGACCATTCTAGGCTAGCATGCTTAGCAGCTAACTTCCATGCCATCCAAAAGTGTCTGCTCTGCATTTCGCAACCTCTGTCAGATTTGATTCTCACGAACCACCCCCCTCCCCCCCCCGGCCTTCGTCGCATCATATCCTACTACTCGATTCTCCGGGAATCGCATTGGGATGTCAATTATGACATATCCTCCGATTGGACATGGCTTCCCGTACCACAATCTGGCCGCGCCCGTGCTTTCCGGAGGCGACTTTTTGGGCGTCTCCTGAACTTGCGGCTTGAGAGAAGCTCAGAACTCATACTCTGTTCCCCTCAAGCTGTATTCTTTGTAGGGTTCTCAAGATGTCAGCTTTTATGTCATTGTCTCACAGGGCCACTTGGGGCGCATTGCAGCACCCCTCGGAGTACTATCATAATTTTGGCCCTACCTTGAACGAACTCTCGTTCGGTCTCCTGGGGTGGTCCTTCCAACCTCAGCGGGATATTGTTGACCTCTCGGGGAAGGTCATTCTTGTCACAGGAGGTATTTTCCGCTTTGTCTCTATGAGTACACAATGCTAGAGGTGCATGCTAATATTCACCGCTTGAGATAGGCAACACCGGCCTCGGAAAGGAAACCATCGTCCAACTCGCTCAACACAATCCATCCCGCATCTACCTTGCCGCGCGTAATGAGACCAAAGCCCAGGATGCCATTGCCTCGATCCGGGAGAGCATTCCATCTGCAGTCGACATCAGATACCTGCCCCTCGACCTGGGATCACTGAAATCGATCCGCGCCGCGGCCGAGCGCTTCCGTGCGGACTGCGACCGTCTGGACACCCTGATCCTCAACGCGGGCACGATGAACAACCCAACCAAATACACAGAGGCCGGATTCGAGCTGCACATGGGTACGAATCACATCGGACACTTCCTGCTCACCACCCTGCTGCTGCCGATTATGCAGAAGACCGTGGCGCTTTCTCCGGACGTCCGCGTTGTGTCTCTGAGCTCTGCTGCCAATGTGGGCAGCCCTCCATTCGAGGTTATGACCTCCGCGTCCGCTCTGGCAGAGACTTCAGGTATGGTTCGATATTGTGCATCCAAGGCGGCGAACATCCTCTTCGCGGCCGAGCTGGCCCGCCGGTATCCGGAGATTCTCTCCGTCGCGGTGCACCCGGGCGCGGTGGCTAGTGACCTATATGAGCATACGATGCAGAGGAACCCTGTCTTCAACTTGGGGCTGAAGGTCATCAAGAGTGGATTCTGTCGGTCCCTGCGCACGGGGGCGCTGAACCAGCTGTGGGCTGCGGGAGCGAGGCGGGAAACGCTGGTTAACGGCGCTTACTATGTCCCCATTGGGGTTCATGCCAGCGGAAATCCGTATGCCAAGGATGTGGAGATGGGAAGGCGTCTGTGGGAGTGGACTGAACAGCAGATTGCTGAGAGGGGCTGATTCCATCTGGTTGTTTCCTTCCCTGACTGATGACTTTTAGCATCTCTTGTATCTTGGACTGTTCGCATTGTAGCATAGCGTCTCTGATGGGCAGAGGTCTCAATTGATAGTTTACATGAACTGGGATATAAATATTTGACGATAAGGACTAACGTCTCGAAGAACTCGAAGATATTGATGCTACGTCATGCCTGCACCTCATGGAGATCATTGGGAAAGGACCGGCGGGCGCCGCGGGAACATCAGATTACCCGAATAGGAATGAGATGCCCGGGCTCGGGAGGTGAATATCCAGGGTCCCTGACAATCAGCCACCACTGGCCACAAATCAGCTCAATAGTCTACAGTTTAGTAGGACGATCGTTCCATTCATCATTGCAGAAGTTTTGTCAATGCTACACATAAGTGCGCCGACGACCTGCCATGGACCCAGAACTGCAATATGCGTTCGATCCGTGACACCGATTGTCAAATGGTTTGCTGGCCGTCAGCAGCGGGCGATCGTTAGGGTTTAGCCGAGGAGCCTCTCTAAACTCCCTCTTCGAGTTTTTCGCCCACAACCACCATGGCAGATCTCCGATCACGATGATAGTAGCAGATCCAAACCATTGAGGATGTACCTTGTAATCATAACCATCAATGTAGAAGCTTGAGAAGCTATACGTAGTGTAGAGGCCATGCGACTCTTAGCGAGGGGCGCGGTGGTCTCGCCGTGTCGGCGTTGCTCCCCACACAAACCCGCCCGGCGCATCATCAGCGACGGTTGCTGCTGCTTGCGTTCACCACCACCACCCGTCGTCTCGTCGTTGTTTCCTCCCACTTCCACTCCTTCTCCTCTTCTCCCTCAGCACCATTCATCATCATCTTCGGTAGGTCTTCCCCCCCTCTGTTTTTGCCAGCCTTATCACCAGAATTCTTGCTCGTCGCCCATCTGGTCCGTTACTTCAACGAAGAAATCCCCAATTTTCCCTTTATCCCACCCGACCGAGAAAAGTGTCACATCACTCTCACCTGACCTCTCCACCCACTTCCATCACTACCACCGAACCACCACCACTATTCCCAACACCTCCACCACACAAACTCTACGAGTCTTACCAAACGTACATCTCTGACAAGTCTTCTTCGATTTTCGCTTCTAGGTTCAGGTTCGAACGACCACTCAATTACCTTCACAATGGATCAGGCAAAGTTGGCTCGGATGCAGGCTAGCGTGCGGATTGGTATGTGCCTTTTTTGAATCTTCTGTTATAATTTTCCCCGTCGACCCCGATGCCCCTCCCCTCCCTCGTCATTTGGAAGGCCAGCTCCCAGCTGCTATGGCTTTCCTCGCCAACGCAGAGCTCCTTGGCCATCGCAAGTCCTCCGCATGAGAAAAGACTCGCGCGACTTGCGTTCTACCCCAATCCTTTTTGGATCTTCAATTTACCTAATGTTCTCAATGGAAAAAGTGTTTGCTGACATATCTCTCTTCTGCGCTTGGTAGGGTACGTATCTCCGAACAACTTCAAGCAACTTCAATGTCCCTGTGCACATAGAACACTGTTCAACCATCCATCCTGTCCCTTCGACATGCAGAATGAAGCGCGCCCGCCCCACCACCAAAACTCAGCCCGCAAATTCAACCTCCCCCCCCCCTCTTCTCACACATGACAAATATCACTATCGATCGAACCATCGCTAACCTTGTATACCCCAAAACAGAGGCAAGGGTACTCCCCGCCGCAAGGTCAAGAAGGTCCACAAGTCCTCCGGTGCCGATGACAAGAAGCTCCAGGCCACCCTGAAGAAGATGAACGTCCAGCCCATCCAGGCCATCGAGGAGGTCAACATGTTCAAGGAGGACGGCAACGTCATCCACTTCGGTGCCCCCAAGGGTAATTGTCCTTCTTTGCTGCTCACCACTACAAACCAATACTAACTCCTTGTCCCCAAACAGTCCACGCCTCCGTCCCCTCCAACACCTTCGCCCTCTACGGTAACGGCGAGGAGAAGGAGCTCACCGAGCTCGTCCCTGGTATCCTGAACCAGCTCGGCCCCGACAGCCTGGCCTCCCTCCGCAAGCTCGCCGAGAGCTACCAGAACATGCAGAAGGCCCAGGGCGCCGAGGGCAAGAAGGACGATGAGGAGGATGACATCCCCGACCTCGTCGAGGGCGAGAACTTCGAGAGCAACGTCGAGTAAAATTTGAGATTCTAATATAACGAATATTACTTCTGTTGTTTATTTTGTCAAGTGTGTGAGTTGGTGTCTGGCGAAGGCACCTCTCTGAACCTCTCTGCGTGTGTCTGTCCCCGTGAAGGGGCGATCTGCATTCATCAGTACTACTACTTACTACCCCCTCTTCAAGAAGCTGGAGTTTCTTTTTGTTTGCGGGATTTTCGAGATCTTTTCTTTTACCATTTCGAAGAAATCTAGGTTGAGACCCTAATTTGTTCGAGGTTAAATTTAACTGTTGAAACAGAGAATCAAGAACTGCGTCTGTGTGATGTAGTGGGAATGCTGGTGGTCAAGGACGGTGGTTGGCTTGCATGCATCGCAGGGTGTATCTGTTTTGGGTAAGTTACTCGTGGAGTATTATGGCTCAAGCTATAGTATCGACGAGAAAGAGATCGGCAGTCGATCCGAGTGTATAGCATTGTAAGGGTTGCACCTTGCCGGGTAGTGTTGGTTCTACGTCCCCCAGCTCGTCAACCTACATAGACCCTCTCAGCAAAAGAAACCCTCTTTCGTGAAAATATGCAGACGTCCTTCATTACCTAGTAGTCTATACGCAAAAAGTTCCATGTGTCCCCTATGCAATTATTTTACCCCCCCCACCTCCACGCGCACAAACGAGTGCAAGCAAGCAGAAGATCCGTAACGCCCTTTTCACTCATCAAACACTACAACCACAAAAATGCAAGTAAAATTGGAAAGTTCATCAACAGAGAAGACGACCAAAAAGGAGAGTGGGCGCGGAGAATAATAATTGAACTTGAGACCAGACTTTTTTTCTTTTCTCCTTTGTTTGCTCTCATCGTAGAGATATCAAGACGTTTAAGCAACCACCGTTGGTGCAGACATGAGAAAGGGTTTATAGTACAGGATAGATATGGTGTTTTGCTTGCGCAGTTGCCACCAGCTGGTCTGGGCCCGTCTGTCTGTCTCTTCCACTTTTCTAGCTCCGAGTCAACATCAACATCACATCAATCAATCCCAGGAGAACGGGCGGCGGGGGTCCAATTCCTTCAGCCCCATCGAGGAGCCGGAGTATTGGAGGGCTTTTGTTGTTGCCGTGGTATCATCGTTGGGGTACTCGATGGCTTCCAGCGGTGTTCGGGAGAAGAGGGGGCCTTTATCTGGGAAGGCTGAGCGGTGGTGTAATTGTTGTTGTTGTGGTTGGTGTGATTGCGCTGCGGGAGATTCAGTAGCCGTGGTCGTTGCTGCTGCGGCCGCTGTGGCGGACGTTACGACAGCTGCCTCCGAGGACTCTTCCTTCAGGCCGCAGATGTCTGAGCCAATGATTTGGTCGATCATGTACCAGAACCGCCAGTAGGTGTTGGACTTGTCATAGTCAAAGGCGCCGTCCTCGCGCAGTTGCGGGCCGTCGCCCACGATATCGCCCGTAAACCAGCTGAGGATGGGGATGGAGCGCAGCACCCGTTCCGTCAAGGTGGGCTGCGGCGGGAGGGCCTCGGTCAACGGCCGCAGTTTCGTCCGCCGCACCGTGGGGATATGGGTCATGAAGTCGGATTCGGGTTTGGGTGGCGCAGCGGAGGGGGCGCTGGTGACGGAGCGCTGCTGCTGCAGCTGTAGAGGAAAGCTGCTGCCCGTCGGCGGCTGCTCGAGCCCCATGGCCGTGGTCGAGCTGGCCGTCGGCGTGGAGTCCATCGAGGCCCCTTCCTCATCCATTAGATCGGCCGGCACCGAGGAGGACAGATTGCCGAAGGCAAACGACCGGGGCAAGGTCTGGCGCTCCTTGTCGGACCCCGTGGGCAGGAATGCGGTGGAATGCGAGGTCGTCAGCGTCCGGGGCGCCTTGGACTGCTGCACGCGCAGCGCCTCCGCCGACCCGGCCACGATGGGCGCATCCTCCGCGGGGCCGCGCCCATGGTACAGCTCACAGAACACCAGGTGCCCGTCGATCTCCTGTGGCGAGAAGAAACACGCGCGGTCCGCCGCCGTCGTCGAGTCGAAGGTGACTTTAATCCAGTGGTACCCGCCCGCGTAGCGCTTCGACTTCCGGTTCGCATCCGCCGACAGCCCCGTCCGGATCACCACGTCCCCGCCGCTCAGCAGCTGCGAGAACCCCGTGGGCGCGTGCGGATCCGTCCGCGGGTAGTCCTCGCAGATGAACCCCTGCGAGATCCGCTCGTACTTGTCCAGCACCTTCCACTCCCCGTCCTTGCTCTTGTACCCGTACAGGATGCACTCCGTCGCGACCTTCTCCGCTTCCTGTTGTTGCTGCTGTTGTTGCTGCTGTTGTTGCTGCTGCTGCTGTTGTTGTTGCTGCTGTTGCTGCTGTTGCTGCTTGCGTAGGCTCTCCACGTTCGACGCCGACGCGGATTTCGGTAGCGTGTGGCTGCGCACCTTCTCGTCCTCCTGCTGGGCCGCGAACAGGCGCCCGAACTCCGTTACGTTGGGGTTCTCGCGCTTGGCCGCCGGCGTGCCGGTGCGGGTGCGCGACCGTGTGTGTTCGTACCGGGCGTTGCGGCGCTTGCCGAATGGGCCTGATTCCTCGGGCGCGCGGCGTGGATTGCGGGATTCGCTGTGAGAGAGAGTTACTGATTAGCATCGCTCGCTTTTCATGATCCCCCCAAAACGTTCCATGTATCTGTGACAGCCAAGCCCCAATAGAGGATGTGCGCTGGTTCCCACTTACTCCTTGTAAACATAACCCCAGGGTAAAAGCTCGCCCTTCTCATTTCTTGCACGCTCCTCCGGGGGGACAAAGTGATATTCCATGCTGACACGGGGAAAATTCGAAATGCGCTTTTTCGTAACTTGAAAGAAAGAGGCCAGAATTATGGCGGTCGATGCAATCGCTGAGAAAGAAGGATGTGCAAATAAAAAAAAGGGCTGGAGAACGGGGTGGATTGATGGAAGTGGAGTGATGAAGCTGGGTAAACCAGCAGCCCAAAAGTTTTGGGGTTTCCGCCGCCCCATAAACAGTCGTGTTAGCCGGGATACCGTCACGTGAGGGGGCGGTCTTGGTATGTAGATTGGAGAGAGGTAGATGGGTTATGAATTGGACAACTTCTTTTACATATTTGTTGGCGCGAAGTTGCCATTTGAGTTAGATTAGATTAGGGGTAAGTGATCTTTGTGTGAATTGTTTTTGAGCTTTTTATTTGACAATTGGGAGGTGCTGTCAAGGTCCTTATGCTAAAGACATATTTTTTGTCGAGTCTGTGATCTGCTTTCTATGGGTTTAAGGTACCAGTATGCCTTTAGCATGTTTTGTCTCACAAATGAAGGCTGCTAATATTTCAGGACTCTTGGGCATGATCATGATTATCTATATGAATTCTGTCATGCATAAGAGCAAAAAAACTTCAAGAAGTGATGCGACTAATCAATCACTGGATCGAACCTTGTGACAATATCCCGAATCGCAGTGACCTTGTCAATACTACAAATTTCAAGACCTCAACCAAAACGCATGCAGAGTGTCGAAATGGCCAAACCGCACACACATAACCATCAGTCAAAGTATACATCTACACTTGCCGCAGGAAACTAATCTGTCCAGGATCCCCAGCGAGACCGCACACAGCGCCGAAGTCTCCTACTTCCAACCGCCTCATGTCAACATAACCCACAAAATCCCCCAAAGGACAAGACAGCCCCGGCCCGGACTTACAGTATGGCAGCGGCGTTACCCTCTCATTGATAATCACTCGTAGGAGGGTATGCCCAGCATCGTCACGCGCACCCTCGCCCCCGGACGAGCAGGTCATCCGCTCCAGGACAATCCGCCCACCCATGGGCATCAACAAACTGTCGTGGTTGTATATGGTGCTGATGATGACGACTATGAACGGGACAAGCAATGTTCTATGAGGAAGACCGCGAAACATGTCCGCTACAAGCCTCCCCGGTCAGTAAAAACACGCCTGAGACTGTGCTGTAACAAGTGGAACCAACGCATGCGACAACCGCCGGGCTGGATTTCTCGAAAGATCGACGAGCGGACCCGCCAAGAAGTCCGTTCTATCACCGCAGGGACCAGTTCTTCATTTGATGCTCATTATGTTTCTTTACAAGTGGGTCTAACTTCGGATGGTATGTGCCCTCGATAGATAAGTTAGATTACATGATATCGGTCAAGTGCTATAAACAAACCGAGGACTCTTGTCTCCCAGCTCTTCAATGGCTTCATCGGTCATGCCTGCAACCTTGTCGTCTTCCAAGCCCTGTTGTCTTCGCTGATTCTTGCAGTGGTAGTACCACCATATGAGCCCATAGACCACCCCGGCAAAGCCAACCAGAGCGAGCGTGACCGCATTGCCGCGAACATAGCGCGGTGCCTCCTCGGTTTTGTACAGGAAAGGGGACATGACGCCACTGATGTTGCCAAACGTCAGCTGCAGACCCGTCGCAAACGTCCGCTTCCCATATCGCGGCAGCGTGGTCGGTAGCCATGCAAGCGGCAGCCCCACGGTCACATATAGCCCCAGGGCGATAAGCAGTGCGCCGAAGTAATGTACCCCGGATGATGAGTCGGAGATCAAGACCCCGTACCCGACAACAGAGATCACAGCGAAGATGCAGACGAAGATCCCACGGCGCTGGGTCCGATCGCTGATCCAAGCGACCAGAAGGTATACAATGGCGCCAAGCGCATAGCACGGAATGGTCAGTGCCTGAACTTCAGCAGTGGACCACTTGCCCATTCCCTTGATGATCGTGGGCAGAAAAGTGCTGTAGCCGTAGAGCATCGTGTCGACTCCAAATTGGGCAATGCAAAATGCGTAGATCCTCCAGTCCAACGCGCCCTCCTTCACATCCGCCCAGTGAAACTTCTGCGCGGACGGAGTCTGGCCGACATGGCGACGGCGCAGACGGACAACCATGGCTTTCTCCTCGTCATTGAGATAGTACGCCGTATCAGGCTCGTCGGCGAGGAAGAACCAGGTCAAAACCCCCAGAATGACGGTGGGAATCCCTTCGATGATCATGATCCATCGCCAGCCCCGCAGGCCCGCGACGCCATCCATGAAGCCAATGCCGTACGCAAGAAGACCCCCAAAGGCACCAGCGGCTGCGGCGCTGCTGAATAGATAACCAGTCCGGAGTGCGATCTCCCGCTTGCTGTAGAACAGCGTGAGATAAGTCATCAATCCCGGAAAGAGCCCAGCCTCGACAACACCTAATGACATGAGCATGAGAGTTGAGGCGAGAAGCGAATGAATCAAACTGACCTAGAAGTACACGGCAGGCAATCAAGCCGCCATAACTCTGCGTGATCCCCGTCAAGGTAGCTAGAATGCCCCAGATGATTGAGATTGAGGCAATGTACCGCGAGGGCCTGAGCTTCTTGATCACCAAGTTGGATGGGACTTCGAACAGCTTCAGATAGATGTCAGTGGTTGCCTTAGACTAACTGGTCTGAACGGGAGCGTACGCAGTAGGTAACAAACAGAATGGATACTGCGACCTGATACTGATTGCCCACCAGGCCTAGATCTTCTTCCATGCCATACAAGCGGGCATTGCCAATGTTGACTGTTGGATCGTATTAGCAACCGCTTGTAGACCGCCAGCGAGCCTGACAAAAGAGCTCCTCTGCATAAGATAGACCCACCTCGATCCAAAAAGCTGAACAAGTACAGAAGCACAACGAAGGGAATGATGTGGATGTCTATCTTCCAGATCAAGTGGCGTGCCCCTTTTTCGTCTGACAGAGATAAGTCCGATCTATCATCGCCGTCTACGCCCAACGAAGCCCGTGTAGGGGATCGTGCTTCGGCGTCTGCCTTAGGCTCTCTGTTGTAATCCATGGGAGGTGGTGGTGGTGGTGGTGATTGATGGCTGCCTCGGCTGGGATCCCCGCAGGTGTGTCTGGGCGCTCAGATGAACTTCCCCGTGGGGTGATCTACAACAGCACCATGTATCAGAATGCAGTCGAGGGTATCGCAACTCTTGTATCAGAGAAGGCAGGAGACCACGTACGCTGACAGCCGTCACACCCAGTACGCTGCAAGTGAGAGGAGGCAAAAAGTGCCCTAGAAAAATTGAGAGATTTCTAATCGCAGTGGCCAAGGATCGCCAAGGATTTAGACCCAATGTTTCTTCTCGTTTTTCTTCAGCAGCTCAGGTGAGCAGATTGAGGATAGTTCATTAAGAGGACTTATGCTTATGGAAGTGTCCTTTTGCCATGAGATAGTCGCATGAAATCAATAGCTTGCATGAGTTAGTACTGTTGGGTGGGCGTTGTTGGTGATGCGTCTTAAAAGACCCTGAGCTGGATCGTCCTTGATCAAACTTAAAATGGATTGCGATTTGCACCAGCTCCATGGCTCACCACACGGGTCAACATTCTTGGCAATGCAAGGATGCAATAGTCGGAACCTGCATGATAATGATGAAAATGCCCACAAGGAGTTAAAGCAATCTATTGCAGATGATCAGATCTGCACTCGTCAATCACTAGTGAGAGCGTCACTGTGATGCGCTCGCTCGAACAATCGACTTTCCATTCATTCCTGTCCCGAGGAACAACAGTACCATGACCCTATGCCAAAAAAAAAAAAGCACGTACTTGTAGGAGCCATAAGCAGCCACAACCTCTATCCAAGTCGTTAATTTGCAGACACTGCTTTGTCAAGCACCCTGTAGTGCGAATCATTGACACAACTCGCACTAAGCCTCTAGAGCTCCAATGAGCAAGACGATGCCAGCCTGATCCAGAGCATGTACCGCGCAGCTGAGTACCTAGGGAAGACTGATCATTGGCTTGCTTTATAAGAAGGTAGCACGGGAGTTACTCCCATGCACCGATCTCTACAGTTGATCGGATGCTGCAGATAAGAGAATAGAGTAGTCAGTGCTTCAAGCAGCGGGAATGAAGACTCCTTACGTGTCATTCTCCTCGAATCCCAGCGGCCTTTCTTGTGATGAAGTTGCTGTCACTCTTACAATCAAGTATCGTCGTACGGGTTTCTGAGCTGGCCCTAAGTGCGCACCCACGTCTAATATTTGTGCCAATCAAGCGCCGTGAAGCTTTGAGTTGAAGTGTCAAACCGAGAGTCATCATCAAACGACGCTCTGAGATGTGTGAATGACAATCAAGTAGTTTCTCAGATGACTGATAATCGAAAAAAAGGTTCCTCTATTTAGACGTGACTAGTTGAACTTTCGTCAAGATCGGTAAAGCTTGTTAAAACGACCTAAAATCCGTATCGAAGTAAACGAGTCAGTAACTGGTGCGCGCGATTAGTTTTAAGTTGACATGACGTCAAAGATCATCTTGCAATATCAGATATCTAGCATCATGCCTGCTCTCTTGTCATTTCATGGACACGTTAACATAGTTGGAGTTCCCAGGTTAGGTCGGTATGAGCAACTCAGGCTGAATCCTACCATAGCTTTCGCCCAACGTGTTCCAAACTTATGGAAACTACCAGTCCGAGATCTACTCTCAAGGAGTCACCTCAGGCGTCACTCCTGCCGTCACCATGGATCCTCGCCAACTTGAGTAACAGGCAAAGACGGCCCTGGAAATCTGTAGCTTCAACTGTGTTGCGAGTGGAACACGAGAAAAAGTCACGATGGTCAGACAGCGGCCGGCTGGCATTTCGTCAATGAATGATGTTAGGTCTATCCCCGCGCAGCTGAAAAGCCGAATTGCTGAAATAGTATCACATTAGGGTCCGCCAAATGCTAAAGCACGTGGGCTGAGGATTCACCTATCTGTGATCATATACAGGTTGCCCATTTCTTGAAGATGGTAAGCTAGCATATCACAGTGAATTTTTTTCGGAGAGGAATATTTCAATCCTCTTCTTTTGGCGCCTGTTGGATTGCGATCCATAGTCTACGAAGACAAGTAAACAGGACTTTGCAGAGGCATGTAGGAAGATTGGAGTCCCGTATACACTCAGCACAGTCAGCAGCAGCTCGACTGAAACTGGCGAAGGCCAATGCCGACGGCAAGAGATGGTTCTATACTGGCCAATGAAGGACGACATCATAATCTCGTCGTTGACACGTGCAAAGGACAACGGCTTCGGTGTCCTTATAATCACCCTGTACACCTGGTCACTCGCTTGGCGATCGGCTGACCTGGACAACGTCTATATTCCATTAATCAAGGGAATAGGAAACGAGATCGAATTCACCGATCCAGCATTCCGTGCTAGATTTGAGAATGGATCTGGCCGGATAATCGAGATAACATTATGGGCGCATCAAGACCATGGAGCTCGCAGATATTCTCCGGAACTCCACACACTTGGGATCAGCTTAATTCTCTGGGGAAGAACTGGGACGGTCCGCTGCTCCTGAAGGGAAATCAGCATGTGGATGGTGCAAAGCTTGCCGTGGAGGCGGGCTGTGGTGACATTGTCGTGGCCAATCATGGAGATAGCATGTCTCAACATCAGATGGAATCTTTACGCTATTCATCGCTACCTACCGGTAAGCCGACAGGTTGATGTCGCAATCGGCTCTCTGGAAGTACTTCCCGAGGTGGTTGATGTTGTCGGGGACAAACTAATAGTTCTCTTCGATTCTAAGATTCGAACGAGTGCAGATGTCATCAAAGCACTCCGTCTAGGAGCAAAGCAGTTTTTGAATGGCAGGCCAGTCATTTATGGGCTAAGTATCAATGGGAAGAAAAAAGTTATCAGAGGGCTCCTGGCGGATGTTTGGCAAAACATGGGGCTAACGGGGATTCGCTCTGTGACGGAATGCTACCGCGACAGGTTCCGAAAGGTAGTGTATCCCGGAAATAGGCACGCTACGATTTAAGAAAGTCAATCGTAGTCTCAATTTCCCTTGAATGGAAACAGACGAGGTGGAGCAATGAAGTGTGTTTACTTAAAGAGAGTTTGCGAAAGACTGATAAGATCAAGGTACCAACTGTAAGTTACCTACTGGACCGGTGTTGCGCTAAGAGAAAGAGCCGGAGGATCACATGTCAATGCCGGCATAACCCCTTAGGGAGTGATTGGTTCTATCCATGATTGCTTCCCCCAGTCGCCACTTGCGCCCAATTCCAGGTCGCAATTCTGGCTTTTTCATCAACCAGGAACCCCTCCCCCAGCGCAACATTCGATGTTCTGTTTACCAGAAAAAACCCCTGTTAAACATTGAGTTCCTGCGACAACTGCCGCGCGACTTTCTCTCTTTCTCACCCCAAAGTATTCGACTTTCTGCCCATGGCTGAAACGAAATTCACGGCACATCGGTCAAATCGGGTCAATTCGACTGCGACTCTGATGGGTTGAGATGTCTAGACTCTTCAGTCTCCGGAAAGCATGGAAACGGGATGATATCGAGCAGGCATACGAGCACCTCGGTCGTGAGAATGACACCCGCCACGTTCCAGCTACGTCCGGCTTGCCTCTCCTTCCGAGGCCGCTTGCCTCTATGGTATCATTCATGACTCAGTCGACTTCTCTGTCTCTTCGAATTGGGTCATTTGTCGGAGGCGCTGCGATAGATGGTGCGAGAACCACGACATTGACCGGGCTGGAGCTCAGCAGAGCAATACTGGAGGGAATATTGACAAGGGCTGGGCGCGATGTTGTCATCAGGAGCAGCGGAGAGTATGGCAAAGCAGAAGCAGAGTCATTACTCGAACGGAGCGTAAGTCGTCCTTGCCGTGTTCTACCTTTATCAGGCTGACATTCGATTTAGCTGGCTACTTTACATTCCACAATAACCTCGGCATCCTTTTTCGCCGCTGCCTCGTTTCATTTCTCCTCAGCTACACTCTCATCAGCAGCCAACATATCCCAGTCACTACTCTCCACATTGGATGCAACCCTTGGCTCTACTGAATCGTCTAGGGCAATTGCTGCAATCGTAACTCTCTTCCGGAGCGAGCTCAGAGACCTCAACGATTCCGAATTCGGGACTGAACTGCGAGCTGGAAGAGTTGGTGTCGCGGATCTATTGGTTGGGTGTGTTGGATTTGCACTGCTCCAGCGCTGGGGCCGGAAGAACACAGAACGGCATGCACGTGGAATCGGGGGTGTGGAATCCGTATGGGATGTGGTTATCCTGGACAATGGCGTGAGAGCAGATGTTGTTGGTACACATCAGATGGAACAGCCGAGGGCTGCTATTGATGAACTGCGTGACGAGACGAATCGCTCATCATTCATGAGTACTGGGAATGATGAAGAAGTCTTCGATGCTGTACAGCGACCAGCAAGCATCGCTGATACCGCAGAAAGGTCCCACTTCTGTCTTCCCACCGAGAACTCGCATCAAATATCCGATGATGATATCCGGTTGTATATCATGAGACAATTGCCTGAAGGTTGCCGTGCTTCTATCAGAACCGACCTGGTGCAGGCCAGAACTATCACGGTTGAAGTATTTGAGGATGACGTTGGAGAAATAGCTGCCCCACCAGGTACAATGATGATCGAGGAGAGACACCATGATGGTAATCTCTCCAGATCTTCCAGCCAGGGCCAGCTTCCCAAACATACGATGGTGTTCAGGACCGCCTTCACCAGGTCTAACAATGCCGATGTGAGGCCAGCCAGTCATCAAGAGAGCATGGCATGGCAGGAGGGTGACGAATGGGAACTTTCCCGGTCGCATCGAAATCTCGGGGATCCGTCGTTCGCCACAATAGGAAACAGTCTTGACGACCCATCAAACGATAGGCTAGTGACCACAGAGCAGCTTTCACCCAATAATCACTTGGAGGATCCCATTACCAGTAAAGCTCGAAGTGTCAACCTGAATCCAATCAAGCATGATCGCGGAAATTCGGACCCCCCGTCTCTCGATAAGCGAGCAGCCACATCTAAAGATAGTCCTGTGAGGTCTTCTCTCGCGAAAGGAGCGCAGAGGGTCAAGTCTAGCAATCCTGGTAAAAAGGATACTGGCAGGCGCCCATCCACGAGACTCCCTGCAGAGAAAGTAAAACCCCCACCATCGTCCGAAAACGCGATTCCACAAGGGAGACCTCTCAAGGGAGCAGCAAACGCGCGAAAGACATCAGCACAACAGAGTACTACCAAACCCGACCGCAGCGGGGCTCAAGAAGCAGCAGCGACATCACCAAAGCGGGGACCATCATCACCTGTAGCGAACAGAGGTTTGCCCAGAACCCCTTTGCAAGAGCATCGTGTGAAATCCGCAGCTTTTCCAAAGACAGGCCGTTCTGAACCCCACGAGGGTAGTCACACAGGCAATTCAAGAACGGAGTATTACGCCATACACGAAAAGTCAGAGGAATCTCTTGTTAACCAGACGAAGGCCTATGCTCAAGAACCACCAAACACACGACCCGGGTCCCCTGTCACGAGAAGGACCCATGTGCGTAGTAGCAGTTCTCTGTCACTGACCAGGTCGGAAAGTGATGTGACCATCTACATAAATAAGGATGGACGTCCCAGCTCCTCTATGTTGCACCATCACCCTCGAGCATCATCCCCGAGCATATATTCTCTTGCCACAGCGGGGTCTGAAACATCACTTCTACTCGCCCATCGTCCTCGGAAAAGTGCTTATGATGATATAGAAGCACTTCAAAGCTTGAACCGGGATGGCACCGTGCCCGGTATCTTCCCTGCAAAGCACTTTGTGCAGAACATCCGACGTTTTTGCAGATTCTCCTCGGCTTCATATGGATCGCATGCCTTGAAAGTCATGGGTGTTCCGCGACTGACTAGTGCTCTACCCATTGAAGAGGTATCTAGCCCGGAACATAGTGACTTCTCTGATCACACAGGCTTGCCGGCTTCCACGATCCTCTTGTCCTCCTTCGTCGATTCTGCGGGTGGAACTAACGCCGCAGGGGAAACGGAAAGCGGCATTCCTTTAGTACACTACCTTTTCCTTGATCATGAATCGAAAGCGGTGGTTCTGACTCTGCGAGGGACATGGGGCTTCGAAGATATTCTGACCGACATGACCTGCGAGTACGATGACCTTGAGTGGCAAGGTAGGAATTGGAAAGTCCACAAAGGAATGCACGCTTCAGCCAAGCGTCTTCTGATGGGAGGAGGCGGTCGAGTCATGTTGACAATCAGAGCTGCACTAGAGGAATTCCCAGAGTATGGGCTGGTACTGTGTGGACATTCGCTCGGGGGAGGCGTTGCTGCACTCCTTGCAACAATGATTTCCGAACCCAGCAGTGATGCTTTTGGTGCATCGTTCACGACCACTTCCTATCAGAACACGAACTCGGGTTCATCTGATAGCGATGAACAATCCTGTGGCAAGGCCTTCTTTGTTCCCCCCGGTCGGCCTATCCATGTCTATGCATACGGTCCTCCCGCGACGATGTCGCCTTTCCTGCGTCGCGCAACGCGGGGATTGATCACTACCATTGTTAATGGTCAAGATGTGGTGCCTTGTCTCTCGCTCGGCATTTTGCATGATATGCATACAGTAGCTGTAGCGTTCAAGGGTGACATTTCTGGCGCTCGCTCCCATGTGGGATTTCGAGTTTGGGAAGGCTTCAGGCAGAGTATTGTGAACAAGTTTTACGTTAACGAGCCGCCTATCCTCACACACGCCGGTCATGGCGTAGGAGAAGATGCGTGGGCATGGAATACATTGAAGACGCTTCGTGAGGAAATGAGCGCGCCCAAACTGCTACCACCCGGTGAGGTATTTTTGGTGGAAACAATGAGGGTTTTGCAGCGAAACGCTTTCACATCTGAAGTGAGCAGTGATGGCCATCCAGTGTTAGGTCGGCCTGCAACCAGAGCACAGTTGATATTCGTTCGAGATGTTGAAGCCTCGTTTGGAGAACTCAGGTTTGGCTCAGGAATGTTTAGTGACCACAATCCAGCAAGATATGAAGCGAGCCTTGCTGCACTTGCCCGTGGAATTTTGGATGAGTGATATGTTTTGGCCTCATGCCTACAACATAAAGTGGTGCTTATGATCATGTATTCATGGAGCTCGAAATACCGGTTCCATTTAGTCTTCGTTATTCTTGGCTAGGTAGTGGACGGGAGAAGAGTGATCATATACAGTCGAATACTAGTTTTGGAATAAACCATGCAATCCTCAAGATATCGCAGCTTCAAATGTTTGGTTCGCGCAATATTCGCGGCTCTCTGGTAAGATGCCTAAGAATAGCCCTGATAGTGCCACCATGGCACGAGAGCCGACCTTGGATACAAGAATCACATGGTTCGGCTTGTATTCATTGAACGATGAATAGCTGGTCCGATGTTGGTCTCTTTCAAGTTCATCTCGCGTTCGATACCCACTCAGAGCATCTCTTCTCGAACTTGATCCAGTCTTATCTGGAGACTCTTCGTTCACGTATGTCTTTGTTTGGTCAAGACAGCTCTGAAGTCACCAACAGTGGCCAGGCGAATTCTGCTCACCGCATCGCCCTGGACGTAAGGGAAGAGACAGCCCAGTAGGACCTTGCGCCATAGGGCTCTGCATGAGGTGACGATCAATCGCCCAGACATTCGTCACTTGAATGCCAGTCCTTGGCACAAGGCTAGCAGGCAGTAATCGAACCAACCAAGACATTGGGCAGTGACATTATCTTTTTGAGCTCGCATTCTTTCAGACTCAATCCTTCACTTGTTGTGCGGCGGCTCCTTCTTCGGCTCACCGGTTTGGTTCTGGGTTCTTTCTTCAATTCTGGCTTCCAGATTCTGAAGCTGCTTCTCCACGAGTTCCTTTTTGGCCATCAGGTTTTCTCGCATGCCTCTGAGCCCGGTGATTCGCTCATCGATCGTCGGCTCAAGTGCCTTTTGTTCTTGGACTTTCTGCAGGTGAAAGAGATCAATAACAAAGAGCTTCCCGCGACCGAGATGGGGTCAGAACACATACCTGTTGAAATTGATGTTGAGATTTCTGCGAGGCGCCAAAAAGGGTACCGGAGATAGTGATGCAAATCACGGCGCCTGCTAGGGTAGCTCGTGGGATATCTTTTGGCATACGAAACATCTTGAAGGTTGGAGCACTTCCACGTCTTGTGGTAGTGGGGATTGAGATTGACTTCGCCGTCAATTGGGAAACAAAGCTGTCGCAAATACAAAATCACGAAGAGGAGAGGGGGCGAGGGCGGAGCATAAGTTAGCAAGTCGATAGATAACTTGCAACAAAGAGCTCCAAAGTCCCCGACCGGCGAAAGGGTGTCAAAAGTCGGCGCTAACCCCAAACGGGGCTAGATGGGCAGGCAGGTCCAGAGTTTCTTTGTTCCCCCTCCAACTCGCGTCGCGTCCGCCCGCGTGCCCGTATCTTTATCACCGTTCCCATATCACTAAGGCGGTGTCAACAATCAAAGAACCTCTTTCCCCCTCCTCTCCCCTCTCCAAATGCGCCGTTGGTAATCGCACGGCGTGCTCGCCATCAATCAAAAATGCCCTCCGAACGGTCCGTTCCTCGCCGTCGCACCCGGTCGGAGGAGGAGGATGAAAGCGATGATGCATTATCCTCTTCCTCCGGGTCGGCTCCTAACACTTCAAATCCTCGATCACCAAACCCGAACAAGCGCCGCAGACTAAGCAACGACGAGAATGATCAGCCCGATGAGGATTCCGAACGCTCTGCCAGTGAATTAGGCGATGACGAGTCCAGGGACGAATCATCCTCCTCGGGCTCAGCTACCGTAAAACCGACTCCCCGAAACTCGAACACGAGCCAGCGCTCCAAATCGAGCACGCAAACCGCTCGACAGAGTCAAGGAGGATCAGGGGACACTGCTAGCGAAGAAGAGGATGACTCCGACGGATCTGAGGCATCAGGAGATGGCAATGAGGACGACAGCGTACCAGATCCTACTCAGGCCGGCGGCGCGGATGGCACCCAATCTCCCGAGACCAGCGCAAATGAATCGCAACCTGCCGATTTGAACGAGCTGACACCGGAAGGTTACAAACCCGGTGCCATCGTTCGCATCAAAGTCACCGATTTTGTCACTTATACATCGGCGGAGTTCTTCCCGGGCCCGAAACTGAATATGGTCATCGGACCCAATGGAACTGGCAAAAGTACACTTGTCTGTGCGATATGTTTAGGACTAGGATGGGGACCGCAGGTACGGACAATCATAAAATGCACTTTCTCAATGCTTATGGGGGTTTCTAATCAACCTCTACTTGTTAGCACCTCGGGCGCGCCAAAGATCCTGGCGAATTTGTCAAGCACGGTTGTCGAGAAGCTATCATCGAGATCGAGCTTGCAGGCGGAAGGCGCTTTCGTCGCAACCCCGTAGTGTCGCGGACGATCAAACGCGATGGCAACAAAAGCTCCTTCACGATCAACGGGAAGCAGGCTTCCCGTCAGCAAGTGTTGAAACTCGCCCAGTCCTTCGCCATTCAGATAGATAACCTTTGCCAATTCCTTCCGCAAGACAAGGTCAGTGAATTCGCTGCGCTCACGCCGATCGAACTCCTCAACTCGACACAGAGAGCTGCGGCGGGTGATGAAATGGTCGAGTGGCACGAGAACCTCAAAAGTCTGAGAGCGGAGCAGAAAAAGCTGCAGGCGGATAATCAGGGCGATAGGGATCTCTTAGCGAACCTCGAGGACCGACAAGAGATGCAGAGAGCTGATGTGGAAAGGATGCGCCAGCGAGCTCAGATCAAGCGAAAGATTGAGATGCTGGAAATTGCTCGCCCGGTCACGCAGTACACGGAGCTTCATACGCAGTTCAATGAAATGAAAAGAGAGCGGGATGTGAAGAATCAAGAATTGGCGGATCTAGAAAGAGAGCTTGAACCTGCCTTGCGGTCCTTGAATGAGAGGCAGGATTACTGCGTCAAACTGGATGATGTCATAAAGCACAGAACTCAGGCATTCGAAACCGCGGAGAAAAAGGCATCCACTGCCGCTACGAAGATTGAGCGGTTCGAGGAGCAGTTCAAGGATTTGGACGACCAAGCCGAAGCTGAGAAGAGAAGTGGGCAGAGTCACAGGCAGAACATCAGTAAGATTCAACAGAATTTGAACAAACTCCGGCGTTCTCTGCAAGAGGAAGAGCCTGCAGCCCTGGATTTGGACTCCTACAACGAGAGAATTGTAAGTATGCTGAGGCAAATCTAGGCTCCCTTGCTAATATCGGCCAGCGGGAAAAACGAACGGAAATCAGAGAAATCGAGGCGCAGGCAAATAAACTCAAAGAAGAAAGGCGGCCTCTTCTAGAAGCACACAAGCACGCAGCGGATCAGATTCGGGAGGCAGAGGGACAGCTCAGGAATCTCGATTCTCAAGCTGGCCAGCAGGAATCAAAGCTGGAACGCATATCTGCGGACTCTGTCAAAGCTTACCGATGGCTACAGGAGAATCAGGGCCGGTTTGAGAAAGAGGTCTTCGGTCCTCCAACCCTTACCTGTTCAGTCAAGGATCCTGAGTACGCCCATGCTGTCGAATCGTTGCTACAACGCACGGATTTCACTGCATTCACTACGCAAACCCGGAATGACTTCAGGACGTTGCAGAAAGCTCTGGTTGAGCAGAGGCTCTCAGACATCAGTATTCGTACCTGCTCTATTCCCCTAGATAGTCTTCGCTCATCCGTGTCCGATCAGCAAATCAGAGATCTTGGATTTGCTGGATGGGCCAAAGATTTCTTGAGCGGACCTGAGCCTGTGGTAGCTATGCTTTGTAGTGAAAATCGCTTGCATCAAACACCTATAAGTCTTCGGGATATCAGCGATGAGGAGTTCACGCAGCTGCAGGACGGACCCATAAGCTCCTGGGTGGCCGGGAAGCAAACTTATGCTGTGGTCCGGCGACGGGAGTATGGTCCCAGTGCAACTTCGACTCGAGTGAGACCGGTCAAACCCGCAAAAATCTGGACTTCACAGCCGGTGGATGAGTCTGTGAAGGAAGACATAGTAAGGAGGATCAAAGCACTCGAAGATGAGGCCAGCGAGCTGCAGGAAAGGATGAACAATGATAGAGCCAGACTCGCTCAGCTGGGTAAACGATATGAAGATATCGATAACGAGAGGGTAAGCAGGAACATCATGCGTTGTGCCACTACCTTCAGTGCTGATTTTGACCTCGTACAGAGACAACTCGAGCAGGAGAAAGGCGAGAAGCAAACGGCACTTACAAACTGGAGAGCAATTCCGGAGAGAATCAGTAAGTATAGAGCTATGCGAGATGGGTGCTGGTTAGGATGCTAATTCGATTGAAAAAGACCAAGAGGAACGCAAACAGAGGGAGATCCAGGCAATGATTGATGAGGTGAGATTGAGGGTTAAGGGAATTCGCAACCAACAAGCCCAAGTATCGATCAAAAAGGCCGAGGCGGCCATCGAATACGCGGTAAGTCTCGGGACAGCCCTCGAAAATGCACAGCATTGCTAATAAGCGGCAGGCTGCGGTCAATGTTCTCCATCGACTACACGAGGAACTCATCAAAATCAAGATTCGACACATCGAAGGCATCTCCGATCTCGAGGCTCTCAGGGCACGTAATGTGCAGCACCAGGAGAGGCTGAATGCAAAGCGCGACGAAGTGAAGGCTGCCCAGCAGCAAATCAAGGACACCACGGAGCGAATGAAGAAGCTGTACAAGGAAGCGCAAAAGATCCTTGCAAATGCTAGCAGACAACCTGATCTGGCTGAATTTATCCCCACTCTGGCCAACCACGCCACCGATCAGCTCGATGCGGACATTGATGCCGAGAAGGCGCGCCTCGAGCTCACCCACGGAGGCAACAGCGGCGTGATCAAGGAGTTCGAGGAACGGGCTCGTCAAATTGACAAGCTGCGCAGCAAGCTCTCCGATTTCGACAACAAACTGGCGGACTACAACCACGCGATCAACGAGATCCGCGGCAAGTGGGAGCCCAAGCTCGACCGCATCATCAGGAGCATCAGCGATGCCTTCTCCGACTCCTTTGCTCGCATTGGCTGTGCCG